CCCTCCCCCCCCCGCCGCTCTTCCTTACGCCAGGTCCCCCTCCGGTAGACCCCCTCCCCCCTCAGGGTCCTGCCCCCTCAGGTGTGTCTCAGGTAGACGCAGTCGACCCTGTCGAGGTAGCTGTAGACTCTGGGGCTGCTAGGGGTGCTGAGCCTGCGGGTGCTGGGTCTGGGGGTGCTGACTCTGGGGGTGCTGAGCCTGGAGGTGCTGACTCTGAGGGTGCTGAGACTGGGGGTGCTGACTCTGGGGGTGCTGAGCCTGGGGGTGCTGACTCTGGGGGTGCTGCGCCTTGGGGTGCTGAGCCTGGGGGTGCTACGCCTGGGGGTGCTGTGCCTGGGGGTGCTGAGCCTGAGGGTGCTGCGTCTGGGGGTGCGGAGTCTGAGGGTACTAGACCTGCTCGTGTGGCGTCTGGCGGTACTGGGCCTGGAGGTTCTTCGGGTCCTTCGTCCCGGCGGGAGCTACTCTCTCCACAGGAGTTGCGTGAGTGGTTTGCCCGGCGCTGGAGGCGAGCTGCTGGAGCTGGAGGTGCTGCGGGTGCTGGAGGTTCTGCTGCTGCTGAGGGTGCTGGTGCCGCGGGTCCCGGAGGTGCTCGTACTGGGAGTACTGGAGCTGCTGGGCCTGCGGGTGCTTCTCGTACTGGAGCTGGTGGTGCTGCGGGCGTCGGTGCTATCGAGGCTGCTGGAGCTGGACCCGCTGCGTCTTCTGGTGGTCCGGCTGGAGCTGGAGCTGCTGGGGGTGTTGGCGCTGAGGGTGCCTCTCGTGCTGGTGCCTCTGAGGGTACTGGAGTTGGCGCTGCTGGAGCTGGGGGTGCTGCTGGCGCTGGTGCTGTCGTTCGAGGTGCTGGTGCTGTCCCTTCTGGTGCTGGTGGTGCTGAGCGGCCGCGGCCGTACTTCGTTCCGCTCCTTGAGCAGGTTCTTGGTCTTCCGCCCTCTGCTAGTCCGGCTCCTCCCTTCGAGTGTCCACCGCCTGTCCAGTCCGAGTCACAGTTACAGCCTACCTCTCCTCTGCCTGCTCCTTCGCCCTACACTGGTCCTACTGGAGGTCTTGCCGAGCGTCGTGAGCCTGCGTCTCGTCCTGCGTCGCCTGTCCGTACTGCTCGCACTAGTAGTCGTGGTTCGCGTCAGCGTCCTCCCCCTGTCCCCGGCACGCACCGGATGTCTCTGCGTCCCTCCACTGCTCCGCTGCGTGCCCCTTTGTCTTCTCCTCCTGAGTCCTCTCTTCCTGTTCTTGTCGACCCGGAGTCGGACTCCCTTCGTGCTGCCAGTCCTACTGTCACGCGTCTCCTTGCTACTGTCGTCACTGACCCTTCCTTTGAGTCCGCTGCCGCGTCTGCCTTAGTTTCTGAGCTTGTCGACTTCGCTGCTCGCTGTCGCCTAGACTACGCTGCTAGTCTTGTCGCTGAGTCTGAGTCTGTCTGTCCTCCGTCCGTCGGGGGTGAGTGTGCCCTTGGCACGGACGTCCTTGAGGACAGGCAGGAGGAGTTCCAGTGCTTTGCTGCTGCTTCACCTCATCTCGTGTCCATGCTGCTTGCCCCTGAGGGAGACCCGGATGCACCAGACATCCTGACTCCGCGTTCGTACGCGGAGGCGATAGAGGGTCCCTACTCCTCTCAGTGGCAGGCAGCCATGGATGCAGAGATGGCTTCCTGGAAGTCCACAGGCACCTACGTCGACGAGGTTCCCCCTCCTGGGGCGAACATCGTCAGTGGCATGTGGATTTTGAGGGTGAAGCGGCCGCCGGGTTCTCCGCCTGTCTTCAAGGCGCGCTACGTGGCTCGTGGCTTCAGTCAGCGGCAGGGAGTTGACTACTTTCAGACCTTCTCTCCCACCCCCAAGATGACCACTCTTCGGGTACTGCTGCCCATAGCCGCTCACCGGGACTACGAGCTTCACTCTCTTGACTTCAGCACTGCTTTCTTGCAGGGCAGCCTGCACGAGGAGATCTGGCTGCGCCGCCCACCTGGCTTCACTGGGTCTTTTCCTCCTGGTACCCAGTGGAGCCTCCGGCGGCCAGTTTACGGTCTCCGCCAGGCACCTCGTGAGTGGCACGACACACTGAGGACTACACTTGCGGCTCTTGGGTTTGCTCCTTCTACTACCGACCCGTCGCTGCTTCTGCGCACCGACACTTCTTTGACGCCGTTCTACATCCTCGTGTACGTCGACGACTTGGTCTTTGCCACAGCTGACACTGCTGGACTCGCCCACGTGAAGTCCGAGCTGCAGAAGAGACACACGTGCACAGACCTGGGTGAACTGCGTAGCTACCTTGGCTTGCAGATCACCCGGGACAGAGCACAGCACACCATTACTCTGACTCAGTCACACATGGTGCAGCAGGTCCTTCAGCGCTTCGGCTTCACGTACTCCTCGCCTCAGGCCACTCCTCTGTCTACTCGCCACTCGCTCTCAGCTCTGCCTTCGGATGAGTCCGTAGAGTCGAGTGGCCCGTACCCAGAGCTTGTTGGCTGCCTCATGTACCTGATGACCTGCACTCGACCTGACCTTGCATACCCTCTTAGCATTCTGGCACGCTATGTTGCTCCTGGGAGACACAGACCAGAGCACATGGCTGCAGCGAAGAGGGTGTTGCGCTACTTGTGCAGTACGTCGGGCATGGGGCTTGTGCTTGGAGGGCGGAGTCCAGTGGTCCTCACTGGTCACGCAGACGCTTCTTGGGCTGATGACCAGGCTACGCAGCGGTCGTCACAGGGTTACACCTTCAGCCTTGGTTCCGGCTCTGTTTCGTGGCGGTCTACCCGCTCGTCTTCTGTTCTCGGCTCCAGTTGTGAGGCTGAGATCTACGCAGGGGCCATGGCTGCACAGGAGCTACGCTGGCTCACCTACCTGCTGACTGACCTAGGAGAGCCACCTCGTTCTCCTCCAGTTCTGTACGTAGACAACAAGGCTATGCTGGCCTTGTGTCGGGAGCACAGACTGGAGCACAGAACGAAGCACATCGCTCTTCGCTACTTTCTTGCTCGTGAGCTGCAGCAGCGCGGTCAGCTGCGTCTTGCTTACGTGGCCTCTGAGGCCAACACTGCTGATATCTTCACCAAGGCACTTGCGCCTTGTGACCATCAGCGCTTCTGTACTCTGTTAGGTCTTGTACCTACCTTGCCTCACTTGCTCACTTCTTGACCTTGCTTGTACTGTTACATATATATATATACCTGCTCTTTCTTGTTTAGCGTTATATATATGTGTGTACTCATGCATGTGAACTGGCCTTGTGGCCTTGAACTTGTGCTCAGAATGTGTGGTGACGTTGTGATCCACCCTGAGCTTGCTTTGCCTTGCTTTGCTTGACTGGTCTTGTGACCCCTTGTTCTCCCCCACTTTGCCTATGGGGGTGTGTCAAACTTATATGATCTAGCCTGTGTAGGCTGTAGCGGGTTAGATACTAAGGGGTACACAATTCTAGGGTTTCATATTTGTATCACTTTCATTCCTTAGTCATTCATTCTCGTTCTAATTTCACATGATATGTGTACTGCTGCTTGTCGTATTGCGTCCCGTGCGTTGGATATGGCAGAGACCCGTCGAAGAAGCCAAGAATCTGCGCGCCTTCCATCATTAGCTCGAATTCGAACGACCAGGTAAAGAAGTCTTTTCCGTCGAACGGTCTTGATGTCTGCAGTTTTAAGACGTGTGCAAATTGCGACTGAACTTGAAGTGCATCCAATGTCTTCTCTTGCTCAGGTGAAGGCTGCTGGCGCGGCATGAAGCTGACGGAACCGCGCTGGGGTTCGTATGGGGCGAAGGTAAGTTGCTGTTGCCGATTTCCTCGTGCGTAAGATGAACCGTCAAGGCTCATCGGTGTCACATCGTTGTTGTCGTTGCTGTTGTTTGATTGCGCAGGTGCCCCTTGCTGGTGCTATTTGTAGAAGGACATCAAGGAGAAAAATTTCTCCATCATGCTTGGGTCGAAGCCCGCGGCTTGATTTGCGGGAGTTTCGGTAGACTCGGCTGCTGGTCTTGTTGCTGTGCCCTCCTCTGTCTGTAGGCCAGAGGCAGGAGGTGGAGTAGGAGTGGTACCGGGAGAGCCGTTAGAGGAGCTTCTCTCCTTCTGTGTTGCCATGCCTGTTGTAGGTGTCTTTGAAATAGTTGAGTTTGCCCTGATAGCTCTCATACCATGTTGGGCTGAGAAAAGCCCTTAGGATCTTTGCAAGGCTAAACTCTGGGTAGGACTTGTTGTAAATGCGGAAGCGTATGATAAGGGTACATTCCGCTCTGGACATGTCCCAATCGTACATGTCCCAATCGATTCCACCGCACTGCATCTTATTACACCGAATTACACCCTAGTTTCAAACATTGTCAAAATTTTCGCGTCTCTGGTTTAGTTCGGTTCGGAACGGTGGAATCGATTGGGACATGTACGATTGGGACATGTCCAGAGCGGAATGTACCCTAAGTCTTTGAACCACCTTGCGCTGGTATGTGAGGGCAAAGTAGATTGATTAATCAAAGAGATACAAGGCTTTTATAAGGGTACAAGGAATATGAAGAGATACAACTGATAACTGTTTTACTGTCGCTGTTGCGGTTCGATACAGTGACGACTCGGGCAACTGCTCAATAACGAGTCAGCTGTTTGTCCTTGCTGTCGCGTTGTACTTGTCAGGTCAAAGGTTGCTGACCTTTGACTTTCGCGTAACCTCCAGTGGTTTCTTCACTTCTCAACCTCCAAGTGTTGACTCGCCGATGCTTCACTGTACTCCGCTTCGTTTACGACTTAGTGCTTCGACACGACAGAGGCGCTTAAATCACTTGTTTCCAACAGATGGAAGTTAGTGGGTAAAAGTTTCCAAGGCAAAATAGCTACAATCAGTGGTTGTGAGCACAGAGCTACTGGAGACTGAAGGATGCTATTGTATGGGGGTGAATATACCCACCAGTAATCGTGAAGCATGCAAAACGCATTGAACTGGGCTCATGCATAACGCGGTGTAGTGTATTTTACGATACACTTTAGCTCCTTTTCTCCAGGATTGCCAGCTACCTGTTGTTGCACCTGCATTGCATCGCAACGTGCAGTTATTGATTACCATGGCAGAACTCGGAGAAAAAGAATGCCAGAACGGCCAACAAGGAGGCAATAGTCAAAAGCGGGACCCACCGGCAGAGAGCAGCACAGCACACACCCAGCCCGTTGTACAGAAAAGGTAGCGTGCAGGAGCAGCAGCACGCACCAATGCAACCCAAAGAGACTGCTTTTGAGTCGACTCAAAAGCAGCAGCACGTACCAATGCAACCCAAAGAGACGGCTTTTGAGTCGACTCAAAAGCAGCAGCACGTACCAATGCAACCCAAAGAGACTGGTTTTGAGTCGACTCAAAAGCAGCAGCACGTACCAATGCAACCCTAAGAGACTGCTTTTGAGTCGACTCAAAAGCAGCAGCACGTACCAATGCAACCCAAAGAGACTGCTTTTGAGTCGACTCAAAAGCAGCAGCACGTACCAATGCAACCCAAAGAGACTGCTTTTGAGTCGACTCAAAAGCAGCAGCACGTACCAATGCAACCCAAAGAGACTGCTTTTGAGTCGAGTCAAAAGCAGCAGCACGTACCAATGCAACCCAAAGAGATTGCTTTTGAGTCGACTCAAAAGCAGCAGCACGTACCAATGCAACCCAAAGAGACTGCTTTTGAGTCGACTCAAAAGCAGCAGCACGTACCAATGCAACCCGAAGTGAGGGGCACTTGAACCCTGCAGTGAAGTTGGTCTCCCATGCATGGGTCTGCATGGACAGCAGGCAGATCAGCAGCAGGAGCAATGTGCATGTCATGCAGACATGCAACTGGGAGATTCGCGACACAACGACACATAACGAGTGACCACAACAGGTAGAGTCGAGGCACACAGACATGTAACAGGTAGAGTCGAGGCACACAGACATGTAACAGGTAGAGTCGAGGCACACAGACATGTAACAGGTAGAGTCGAGGCACACAGACATGTAACAGCTTTCTATGAGCTTTGACTATGTCAGAAGACCGATTGGCTTCTATGAGCACCTGATCCTTACACACCTGGCCGTACAAAATGATGACATCTGCATCCGATGCGGCATAGGCGAGCTCAGGTGAAACAGCAGATAGGTCAAGCGCCTGGGTGGAAAGGTGAGAGGGGACGGAGGGACAGCACAGGGCCACAGGTGGTAACAAACCTGAAGGTCGGATCCGGAGTTGAGGACAAGGATGCGACCATTGCTGATGGGCATTGCAACGAGATGAATTTTGAGTTAAGTCAAAAGTCATCTAAAAAAACAGAGTCATCTAAAAAAACCGAGTCAAAAAGCGAACCTGAAGGTCGGATCCGGAGTTGAGGACAAGGATGCGACCATTGCTGATGGCCGTGCTGATGTCATCCTCCGGTGCTGCTGCTTGCACCTGACATCCCATGCCATGCCATGGGAAGCACGAGAGGCATGGGAAGCATGAGAGGCATGAGAGGTATGAGAGGTATGAGAGGTATGAGAGGTATGAGAGGTATGAGAGGTACGAGGGGCAGAAATATGGGAAGCACGAGCAGCATGAGAGGCAGAAGCTTCTATTGATTAACTGCTGTAACACTGGCTCCATGAGGGGCGCGACAGGCCTGTGAGGCCTGAGAGACCTGAGAGGCGTGAGAGGCATGAGATCATCACCTGCTTCAGGAGATTCATCAGGTCCTCGTGTGTGATGGCAGCACCTGAAGGCATGTCTGGCACCACCAGAAGCACCTGAGAGGGGAAGGAGAGGTGAGAGACGAGTATTGCAACAGAGCTGCAAGGGAAAGAACAGCTTCAAAGAACCAAGAAGAGAGGCCACAGCAGCAGCATGGCAGCAGCAGCATGGCAGCATGGCAGAATGGCAGCATGGCAGCATGGCAGAATGGCAGCATGGCAGCATGGCAGCATGGCAGCATCGTAGCATGGCAGCGTCGTAGCATGGCAGCATGGCAGCAGCAGCATGGCAGCAGCAGCATGGCAGCAGCAGCATGGCAGCATGGCAGCAGCAGCAGCAGCAGCAGCAGCAGCAGCAGCAGCAGCAGCAACCATCATCCTGCACAGCAGCTGGCACTTGGCAGGCAGCACTGCTCTGAACCCCACTAGACCGACTTCCATGCACCTCACACTAACCCCCACCCACTCACACCCATCCCCACCCACCTTCACGCCTCGTCTAGTCAAGTCCCTCACTGCTGGCAGCAACCCCAGTACCGTCTCCCTGCCCGCCCCTGCACACAACACCACAGCCTGGAACGAGGAAGGAGAGAGGGTGAGGGATGGGGGAGGGTGAGCAGCAGATCACCACGAGCTGTAAAGCTACTGGAGAGTCACTTTTGGAGATTCTGAAAGTGTCAATTCTGAAAGTGTCAATTCTGAGATTCTACATTCCACCACCCTGTCCCACGCTTCACTATCCTACACTGGTGGGCCCTCATCCTCCTCCACTACCACCCCCCCCCTCCTCTCCCCTCCCTCTCCCAGGTAGATTCTGTGTTACCTTGCTCCACTTGCCCTCCCCTTGGTTGCTCCATGCCTGCACCGCCGCCCCCATGTCATCTGCTGCCCATGGTTTGGCCGGCAGACTGTCAGAAACAGACAAAAAGTCTGCTGTCCCAACTGAGGGGTCCGCGCCGTCCAGAGCGGCCAGATTGCCGGCCAGCATGCCCCGGATGAGGGCTTCGGAGCGGGTGACGTGATCGCTGTTGTCATCCATCGCTGCAAGGACGGCTAGTAGCTGCTGTAGGGCCATGCGCGTTGACTCGCCCTGGTGTGTTTTTTTATTGGGTGGGGGGGGGTTTGAAGGGGAGGACGGGAGAAGCGGGAAAGTTGAGGAAGGTAGGGGAATAAGGGAATGGAAGAATGGAGAGTAACAAGGAAGGCGGGAATTAGAGGAGCAAGCATGGAGTGTTGTGCGTGTGTGTGGATGGTAGCTGCATCGTATGGCATGGCATGAAATTGCATAAACCCAATGCGTATAAATGCCAGCCTTGGCCTGTCCGCATCACTTTCCCCCGTCCCCATCACCTTGGCGTGTCTGTAAATGTCTTCAAAGCCTAGCTCCCGCAAACAGATGTCTCTCAGCCGGTACAGCAGCTGATGGGATGGACAGCGGTGGGGAGGAGCATAGGAAGGTGTGGTCAGATTAATATCAGCCGCTTCACATGGAGGAAGTAAGGAGGGACGGAGAATGCAGAGAAGACACACCCAACGCAACACCTGACAAAACTATCACACGCCACCACCACAACCTGCCACACAGCACCACATACCACCACACACCATCACACACCACCGCATACCACCACACAGCACCGGATACCATGACATCTGGGGGCCCGCCATGGCTCTCGGGGTCGTTATTGAAATCGTCCAACATGGATGCCAGCCTGCCACACACAGCGGCATGGTGGCACGATGATGCGGGTCAGGTGGGGGGCCGGCAGAGGCATCAATATTCAGCATTTACGCCGGCCTGCAAAACACAGTGGCATGGTGACACAATGACGCGAGTGTGGTTCAGGGGGGGAAGGGAGGGGAGGGGCATCAGATGGGCCCTCCTTTCTACAAACGAAGGCACTCATATGCAGACATGGAGAGCAGACCCACTCCCATTGCCCCTCCAGGCACTCAGTTAAACCTTCACCTTGATCGAACGTTGATCGATCCAAGACTGCTCCCCTGCGCTAGAGTCACCTGTCTTCGAATTTGGCGGCCCTCTCTGTTGCGTTGTCCACTGACGCGTCGCTCTCTGCCTGCTGCCTGCTCATCACATGGGACGGTGGGGTGAGGTGTGGCATGGTGGGGCATGGTGGAGTGTGGCATGGTGGGATGTGGCATAGTGGGGTGTGGCATAGTGGGGGGCGGTGCGGTGTGGCATGGCATGACATGGCATGGTGGGGTTAGGGTGCGGCATAAGATCTTACATGACATGGCATGGCATGGCAGGGCAGGGCAGGGCAGGGCAGGGCAGGGCATGGCATGGCAGGGCAGGGCAGGGCAGGGCAGGGCAGGGCAGGGCAGGGCAGGGCAGGGCAGGGCAGGGCAGGGCAGGGCAGGGCAGGGCAGGGCAGGGCAGGGCAGGGCAGGGCAGGGCAGGGCAGGGCAGGGCAGGGCATGGCATGGCATGGCATGGCAGGGCAGGGCATGGAATGGCATGGCATGGCATGGCATGGCGTGTAAGGACATGTGACGGAAAGGAGGGTGTATATTCTCGTTTCGCGTCCAAGCAGCGAAGAGCACAGAACAAGAAGGGGAAGAGAGGATCGAAGGATGGCATGACACTGGTACATGCCCCCCCATGTCACGCCATGTCATAACATGGCACGCCACGTCGTATAGTGGCGGCAATATCATCTCACAGTGAAATTCTATGGGTGGTTTTGAGATTTCTCAAAACATCACACCTTAGAACGGCGACACTATCGCTCCAAGGACGCCACACCTCCCTCCACAGCGGAATTGTCTCGCAGAAAGAGCTGAACGCGCTCTCCTTCGCCGAGGTGACTTATGAGTCGACTCAAGAGTCACCTCGTTGAATGGCGGCACTATTACTCTACGGACATCATTCCTACCTCCATAGCGGGATTCTCTCGCGGAAAGAGCTGATCAACGCACTCTCCTTCTCCGTCAGATGCGCTGGGTCGTCGGATTCGCATCTCAGCGCCAGGACGGCGGCGTACGCCTTGGGATTCGCGAGGAGAGGGAGCGGGACCGGCGGCGACGCCCACTCCATCGCGCGAAAGACGCTGCGCGGGCACCCGCGTCTGTCGCTACGGAAGGCGAGCTTCGATATTCCCAAGACAGGTTCCGAAAGAATGGGTCAATGAGGTTGGGGGTGGCCTGTTGCGGTTAGAATGGGAGACATGTAACAATGTTTGATCTGGCTTTGCTTTACGTGGAAGACATTAGAACTCGTCAGCCACGATGAACTCCGGTTGCGACCTCTCTAATGGTCATCAGCTGGAAGTGGTCAGGTTCATAAGATGGAAAGCTAGGAGAACACAGGCATTTCAGTGCAAGTTCTGGACACTAGGGGTGAGCATCACCTGTCAGGCCCATGAAATTATCACGAAAGTTTTGTTCCTAATCGCGAACACCAATCACTCATGTAACCTTCTCTAACCTGCCATGCGAAGCCGGTTGCGAGATAAGCGAAACAGGATTGATTGGGCAGGCGATGTGTCGTACAAGCCTTGATACCTCGATATTGCTGTAGCACGAACATGAATTTGAATCAACACTCGTGAACTCTTCGATGTCAAATCGGAATGGGAAAAGATCAACCAGGGGCCGAACATTGCCAGAGAGGTGTTCAAAGTAGGGCCGGTAAATCTCGACCGTAAGATTTCAGCCCAGAGCTGCCCAACTGACTTGGCGAACAAGCCGAACCGGAAGTAAACGATATTTGCTAAAAGAACCAAATTGTTTATTCATGTTTTTTATTGAGGGTTTTGACCTCCGTCTACTACAGCGCGCGCGTCGCCTTCTTCTGGAAGTAAAGTTCGGCGGATGTCGTGAGTACGTATAACATATTATATTCTGGGTGATAAATACCACCTACCCGATCGTAGACGCACTGGAAACAAATATATTACCCATTCGGAAACAGATGCGACTCGGGAGGCATCAACCCTAAATACCAGGAAGTTATCCGTTTTAGGGTCGACCCATCCCGAAAATGCATCCAGATTCCCTAAGAGTTGTAGTTTTTTTTGCTGCCCCAAGAGTTCCAGTAGAATCGGCTCGCTAAACGACACGCGAGCGAAAATGCGAGCCGGTACATGCCACTAATAACATAACTACGTGCAATAAAGAAAGACCCTACGTTAATACCTCTATGCGCAGCGGTTTGAGAATTTCCGGGCCTCTTGGCCCCTGGTCGATCACCCCTCTGGCACTGTTCGGCCCCTCGTTGATCTTTTCCCAATCGGAATTGCAGAATTCGATCGCATGGACATTCTCGAAAACTCTTTCACCTCACCGCACAATTGTACCACTTTTCGCCTTGATCTGGTTTCGATTCCTACTCCCGTCACAACTACATGCCTGTAGTATGGGCATTATTAATCAGGCAGGCTCTTTCTACCAAGCCTTTGTTAACCGCTGATTAGGCTGTTCTGTTGCTGACGCATGGCGTCAACCGCAGATGACGCCGTGATTGACGTTGAGGAGGACGAGGAAGAGGAGGAATTACCGTTTCGTTGGGGCGATCCGGCTCCCGGCCCGAGTCGCGGCGGCAAGCGGTTTTACCTGTGGTTCGAGCAGGGAGGGGAGCGGTTCGACATTTACGACTGCGTGTACTGCCAGGTCCGATGCCTGTTCGAACCTCATCTGTCCGGTTTCTTGACTGCTCGAGAATTAGCGTCGCTTACGCGTCTTTCAAACGGGGGATACCTCGCTTACACGTCTAAAACTGTCAAGCCCTTCTTTGATTAAACCTCGCATACACCCCCTGATAGCAATAGTAGACCAGAACATTAAATCTAAAACCTTTCCTGAATTCCCTGTACCACGTCAGGCAGAAGAGGGGATGGACCCGTACGTGGGGAAGATCGTGCGCATGTACGAGCTCCCCCCCAGCCGCCGCGGAAAGCGCAACAGCATCGGCGGAAAGCCAGGCGAGCGCAAGGTGGACATCCGCTGGTTCTTCCGCGCGGCTGACGTGCAGGCGGAGGGCGGGGAGCTCCCAAGGGACGTGCGCCCCAACGAGGTGTTTCTGGCCGTTCCCGAGGGCACCCAAGGTGTTACTGACGCCAACAAAGTGGTGAGTTAGAAACGCACATGGAACATTGAATTGAGTGAGTGAGTGAGTGAGCAGGGAGGGCGGGCAGCTCCCAAGGGACGTGCGCCCCAATGAGGTGTTCCTGGCCGTTCCCGAGGGCACCCAGGGGGTCACTGACGCCAACAAAGTGGTGAGTTAGAAACGCACATGGAACATTGAATTGAGTGAGTGAGTGAGTGAGCAGGGAGGGCGGGCAGCTCCCAAGGGACGTGCGCCCCAATGAGGTGTTTCTGGCCGTTCCCGAGGGCACCCAGGGGGTCACTGACGCCAACAAAGTGGTGAGCCGAACGGTTATTGAAGCGTCGGAGCAAAGTACCGAGTTCTCTCCTTCTTTGCCTCACTCCCGATACTCTCTCTTCACCCCGCCCCTCCCCTCTCTCCCCCTCAGCGCCCTTCTCTGTTTCAGCACAAAAACCGGACGACTTTTTAGACGTGTCAAAAGTCTGTTTCAGCACCGAAACTGGTTGCCAAACGGATAGTGGTGGACTCCTGTGCTCGCATAGTCTGCCTGTCTGCCAGCCATCCCTTGCCTCCCCTCGGGCATTTTCTCCACGCCTTCCCCCTTCTTGCCCCCCCTTTTCTGGTCCCCTTTTGGTCGGCCTCCCTTCTCTGGTATAGCACAGATAGTGGTGGGACTCCCGGGCGCGCATACTGTGTCTCTCTGCCGACCCCGTCTCGTTTCTCCCACCCTGCTCTCCCTCTTCCCACGCTGCCACGCATCTCCCCCTCACCTTCCCTCGTCTGTGTGGAGAGCACAGATAGTGGTGGACTCACGGGCGCGCATACTGTGCGTGTCAAAGGACCCGCGCAACCCACAGCCGAGTGCAGCGCAGGTGGAGGCAGCAGAGCTGGTGTTCTGCCGTGCGTGGGACATGCAGCAGAAGCACGTGCTGGAGGACCTTCAGGTGGCTATTGACGACTTGGGCTCAGGTGAGTCTTCAGGTGGAATCAGGTTGGGCAGCAGGTGCTTGTTTGTTGGTGATTGCTATTTGCTGCAGAGTTAGCACCTTTGATTTGTGATGTGCTTTCCGGGCCATGTGTGTGGTGTGGTGTCCTGCTGAATGTGTGTCGGGTCGGAGCACTGGAAATGACGTGTGCCGTGCTGTGTGGTGTCCTGCTTGATATGGCATGTGGTATGGCATGGGTTATGGTGCATGGTGCGTGATGCATGTTACACGACACATCACGCATGGTACATGGCATTTGTCGCATGTTACGTGGCATTTGTTGCATGTTACATGGCATTTGTCGCATGTTACGTGGCATTTGTCGCATGTTACATGGCATTTGTCACATGTTACATGGCATTTGTCGCATTTTACATGGCATGTGTCGCATGTTACATGGCATTTGTCGCATGTTACATGGCATGTGTCGCATGTTACATGGCATTTGTCGCATGTTACATGGCATTTGTCGCATGTTACATGGCATTTGTCGCATGTTACATGGCATTTGTCGCATGTTACATGGCATGTGTCGCATGTTACATGGCATTTGTCGCATGTTACATGGCATGTGTCGCATGTTACATGGCACAGAGGAGGCAGTGTTCAACAAGTCGGCATGGGTGCAGCAGCAACCGACCGTTGGGGCGACAGCAGGGGAGGAGGAGGACAGAGCTGCAGGCAAGGAAGCAGGAGGCGCGGTTACAGGGGGTGCTGAGACAGTCAGAGAGGAGAAGGATGGTGCTGTGAGAAACGACACGGACGTGAAAGGGGGAGAAATGGGGACGGAGGAGGAGCGAAGGGTTGGGGAAAGCGGAGGAGGGGAACAGAAACGGCTAAGCAAGAGGATGAAGGTGGAAGGGCAGGTGGGGGAAAAGGGCGGGAAGCAGAGCAAGGAGAAGAAGGCGGGAGACCCGTGGGATCTGGAGGAGGAGGAGGAGGAGGAAGTGGAGGAAGGGCAAGAGGATGGGCAAGTGGAGGAGGAGGAGGAGGGTGTAGAAAAGGAAGAGGAGGAGGGCGACGGGGAAGAGGAGGAAGAGAGAGGGGAATTGAGGAAAGAAGGTTCAAAGGAAGGCTTAAAGGAAGCTCCCGCGAAGTCAAGTGCACTGAAACTGTTGACTGAGAAATCGGCCCTGGCAGGGCAGGCAGGCACGGGTGGGCTCAGGCAGGGATTGCCGCAGGGGTTGCAGCCTGCAGCAGCCCCTGATGGGCCCGGGTCTCGAGCCAAACTGCCTGTCCGCCCCTCCCAGAAGAAGCTCCCCCGGATAACACCTCCCCCTGGGGCTGTGACTGCTGGGCCGAGAGGAGGAGGGGTAGGTGGAGAGGGAGGAGGAGGTGGGGGAAAAGGGGGAGGGGGAGGGGGAAAGAAGAAGGTTGCTGGTGTGTTGTCATTGGCCAATGTTCCGGCCAATAGGAGGAGTTTGTTTGAGAAGCTGCAAGGGAAGAAGAAGGGGCAGGGAGCAGGGAGGGTGGGTAAGGGAGGAGAAGGGATGAGGGGAAGAGAGAGGAGTGCTGAGAGAGAAGGGAAGCTGCCAGAGGGACAAGAGGTGGTGCCGCTGGGGAGGAGGATAGAGGAGGAGAGAAGGAAAGAGGCGAGGATGAAATTGGAGGAGAGGAGGAAAGAGGAGGGAGGGAAGCCTGTCAGTGATGCAGGTGCTGCTACGGCTGCTGCTGGTGCTGCTGATTCTGCTGCTGCTGCTGCTGCTGCTGCTGCTGCTGCTGCTGCTGTTTCTGGTAACGACTTGGATGCGTCTGAAGAAGATTCTGTAGCAGAAGCAGCTGTAGCAGAAGCAGCTGAAGCAGGGGCAGCTGCAGCGGAAGCAATTATAGCAGAAGCAGCTAAAGCAGAGGCAGCTGTAGCAGAAGCAGTTATAGCAGAGGCAGCTGTAGCAGAAGCAGAAAGGAAGAGCACAGCTTTGGAAATTCTTACAGAAGCAGAAGCAGAGGAGCCTTCAGCAGCAGCAGCAGTGACAGCAGCAGCAGCAGCAGCAGGACCAGGAACAGCATCACTGTTAGCACCATCACTGACCGTTGTAACAGCAACACCACCAGCAGCAACGCCACCAGCAGCAACGCCACCAGCAACGCCACCAGCAGCAGCAACAGCCGCAGCAGCATCTCAATTAGAAGGAGCAACGGTCGGTACGACTGTGGAGGATACGGAATCAGCAGCAGTAATACCCGTTTCAGCAGCAACAGCAGATGCAGAGGCAGTACCAGCGGGTTCAACAGCAAGAGAAGCAGCTGTGATGGAGACACCTAGTGCAGAGGCAGCGTCGTTAGAGTCATCTGAACCACAACCACCGCCACCAGATTCTGCTGCTATAGATGCTGGTGCTACAGATGCTGGTGCTACAGATGCTGATGCTACAGATGCTGGTGCTACAGATGCTGATGCTACAGATGCTGATGCTACAGCTGCGGTTGTTACTGCAGGAATGGAAAAAGCAGCAGTGCAAGCTGACCTCGCAACTGTCCAATCAGAAGCACCGGAATCTGCCACGTCAGAGCCAGGTGCTGCTGACATGGCGCCGGCTGAGGTGGTGGATTTAGAGAAGAGAGAAAGCAAGGGTGACGCGACTGAAAGGGGAATTGCTGGTGCGGGAATGGAAGGGAAGAGCGGAACGGAGACTGCAGTGCCTAAGGAGAGCGTTGATCGTGAGGGTTTGGAGGTGAAGTCAGAGAGCGAGAAAAGGGACGAGAGTGAGAAAAGGGACGAGAGTGAGGAGAAGAGTGAGATAGAGAGTGACGGGGAGAGACCACTCGTAGACACACGTTTCTGTTGGCCGGTGCCTCTTGCTGCTCGTGCTTCTGCGTCTCCAGCTGCTGCCACCGCTGCCACCGCTGCCACTGCTGCCACAACCACTGCCACTACAACCGCTGATGCTGCTGCTGCTGCTGCTGCTGCTGCTGCCACCACCACTGCAGCTGCTGCGGCTGGTGCGAAGGCGAGGCAGGCAGAGAAGAGAGAGGCAGATGGATACAGGGTACGCTCCTTTCCCTCCCAATCACTCCCTACCCGCCTTTCCATCTTTCCACCTCTCTCCCTACCTGCCTTTCCATCTTTCCACCTCTCTCCCTACCCACCTGTCCATCTTTCCACCTCTCTCTCTATCCACCTGCCCACCTACCCACCTTCCCCTTTCCCCCACAACCTTCAACTGGATGTCAGATTTTCGAAGCATTGGAGATTCGTCTGTTATCACCCTCCGCCCGTTATCACCCGCCCTCCACTCTCACCCTCCGTCCGGTATCACCTGCCCTCCACTCTCACCCCCCCACCTCTCTCACGTCCCTCCGACCCTCCCACCCTCCTTCGCCCCTGCAGTGGAACAGCATCATCGAGGGGGCGTTGGTGGAACAGCGGGTGGGTGGTTGCATGTTCACCCATCTCCACCACTCTGAACTCCCCTCCCCACCTCTCCCTCCTGCCCTCGCCCCTGCAGTGGAACAGCATTATTGAGGGGGCGTTGGAGGAGCAGCGGGTGGTTCGCATTGACAGCATCCCTCACCTCTCGCTCATTCACCCCTCCACTGCCCACGTCCCTCCCTCCGTCGCCCCTGCAGTGGAACGGCATCATCGAGGGGGCGTTGGAGGAGCAGCGGGTGGTTCGCATTGACAACATCCCTCCCTGCACCTCGTCGCAGCAGCTGCACGTGAGTCACTGTCAGCTGCACGTGAGCCTTGGCATGTGGCCTGTCGAGAGCTCTATCAAGTGAGACAACATCCCTCCCTGCACCTCGTCGCAGCAGCTGCACGTGAGTTTTGAGGCATGCGCTGTTCTGTTCTACTGGAACAAATCTCTTATATGGCCTCTTACTATTCAATCACTGCTTGTGCTGCTGCCACCACTGCTCGTAAGGGCATTCTGAGACTCCTCAACAGCCCTGCAAGTGCAGCCGTCCACCATGCCCATCCCCCCACCACCTGCCCTCCCGCCTTCCTTTCCCATCCCCTTCAACCCCCTTCCCTCCCTTGTCGCACCCTACTCTTACAGGAGGCCATGCTTGAGCTCTTCTCAGACGTGGTGGCGGTGCGGGTGCAGCCGGCCACCACGCCCATTCCCCCCATCGCCATTCACGCCTTTGCCATCTTCCGCACCGCTGCTGCCGCCGCTGCTGCTGTGCTCTTCCTCTCAGCCAAATGCGTCGTGCCCTCCCACTCTTCCCGGTAAGAAAGGGACGTTCTGAGGCGCCTAGAATTGGTTATAGCTGCTGCTCCTGCTGCCATTGCTTCTGCCGCCGCCGCTGCTGTGATTTTCCTCCCAGCCAAATGCATCGTGCCCTCCCACTCCTCGCGGTAAGGAAGGGACGTTCTGAGGCGTGCCCTCCCACTCCTCCCAGTGAGGCATCGTTACCTCTCACTCTTCTTGCTGAGCCAGGCTTTTCAGCAACTGCTTTGGCTGCTCCCAGCTCTATGTGCCGCCGGCCGCTGCCGCCGCTTCCGTTTCTCTCTCCCGCCCAGAACAATTTTGCACTCCCATTCCTCCCATTCCTCCGCCGCTGTTCATTTTTCCCCACTTGATTGGACTAGCCGCTGACTCCCTCCCCAAACCTTGTCTGATATACTCAAATTTACCCATCCTTCATCACTGTATGCCCCAATTCTACCTTTCCGCTCCCATTTCTACCCTTATCCTCCACACCCCTCCTGCCACGTGCAGCCCTCTGATTGGTCGCCTGCAGCGCCCACCAGCAGAGGCGCCATCAGCGGTGGATGCACCCTCGGCCTCTCTGGTGTCGCACGGCCCAGGCTACTTCACCATCCGCAACAAGCGTGGCGGCCCCGGGCAGTACTCAGATGAGAAGGTGAGGCGGGAGACATGCTAGATGGGTATGAGCAGTGGTGCCATCAGCAGTGGATACACCCTCAGCCTCTCTGGTGTCGCACAGCCCGGGCTACTTCACCATCCGCAACAAGCGTGGCGGCCCCGGGCAGTACTCAGATGAGAAGGTGAGACAAGCTGTGATGCTGATGATGATGGGTAAGACAGACGTGGAAGGCACAGAGTCAGCCATGGCGCGCAGACGAGCACACTCCTCCCGGGCTACTACTCCATCCGTAACAAGCGTGGCGGCCCCGGGCAGTACTCAGATGACAAGGTGAGACAAGCTGTAATGCTGATGATGATGGGTAAGACAGACGTGGAAGGCACAGAGTCAGCCATGGCGCGCAGACGAGCACACTCCTCCCGGGCTACTTCACCATCCGCAACAAGCGTGGCGGCCCCGGGCAGTACTCAGATGAGAAGGTGAGGCGAGCGGGAGATATGCATGATGGGTGTGAGAGGTACGGCAGACATGGCAGGCTATGCCAGGCAGGCAGGCTATGCCAGGCAGGCAGGCTATGCCAGGCAGGCAGGCTATGCCAGGCAGGCAGGCTATGCCAGGCAGGCAGGCTATGCCAGGCAGTGTACTCGGATGAGACGGTGAGAAGGGAGGCATGGCATCCATAGGGGGAATTTTCGGCACAGCAACAGACAGACTGACGGGCGCCTCTGTGGGTGGTGCTGCAGCAGAGAAATCTTATAGTCCTTCTGTGCCTCGTCTTCGCTCACTCCCTTCCGTCCCCATCGCCGCTCACTCCCTCAAGCTGGAGGTAGAGTGGAGGGGTTGATTTTGAGAATTCTCAAAATCAACCTCAAACAGAGTGGAGGGTGAGACAGCAGAGTAATTGTTCTTGCCTCATTCGCAATCACTCCCCTCACCTCATTCGTCCTCTTTCCCGTCTACCTCCCTTCTCCCCACCCTCCTTTACTCCTCCCCTCGATAGAAGAACAACTTAACCACGTCGCACTGTGCGCAGTCCAACATCGTTGAATGCGAGCTGGGGGTGGAGTGGAGGGCAGTGCAGCAGACTCATTCTCACTCGCTTCCTCCCTTGTGCACTCTTTTCCCGTCTGCTCTCCGTTCATCAGAAGAACGCCCTAACCACGTCGCACGTTGCACAGCCCAACCATGTGGAATACGAGCTGGGGGTGGAGTGGAGGGCGGTGCAGCAGAGGGAGGTGCACATGGTGAAGGCTTTACTGAAAGCCCACCAGGCAGAACTCAACAGCCTGATGCTGAGCAACCGAGACTGATGGATTCATTCATTCAGGAAGTCTTGTATGGGTGGAGTGGAGTGGAGTGGAGTGGAGGGAGGTGCACATGGAGGGCGCTGCTTAGAGGACACCAGGCGGAGCTCAACAGACTGATGCACCGCGCGCGGAGAGGGACGTCATTAGAGAGCAGTGTGCAGAGGGAGGTGCGTGCAGAGGGAGGTGCGTGCAGAGGGAGGTGCGTGCAGAGGGAGGTGCGTGCAGCAGAGGGAGATGTATGCGGGACAGTTTCTTTTGAGAGCCCAGCCCACGATGCGGGGCTCAGTAGTCTGCTGGCAGGTGGTTTGAGATTGAGCTGATAAAGGAGATGTGTACAGTTGTAATGTACTGTACACTCTTGTACATGAAGGTAACAGAGACACATCGCACAAGTAAAAAAATATTACACCCCATGCATTGCTTTTTATATACCTTCAGCATCTTCTCTGTCAAATCGTGATTTTATATCTCTAAGCGCATTTGCTACTACTGTAGCATTCGCTTGTACAGTATCCAAGCAGCTGCCATGGCTGAAAACGAGGTGGTAGGTGAGGGAGCAGGCGTGGGAGAGGTGGTTGTAGCACACAACAGCGCAGTTATCGGGCCTTATCTCGAGCACCGAGGCCCTTTCCGGCATGAATACCAGATTGGTCAGCGCTGCCCCATGCCCCGCTACAAAGAGCCGTGCTCGCCGGAACAAGTCACGAGCTGCAGTGGACGGGAGAGAAAGAAGAGTGGGCATGAGAACGACGTTGGTGAGCGCTGCCCCGTGGCCTGCTATGAAGAGCCGCGCACGCCGAAACAAGGCGCGAGCTGCAAGGGGCAAAGAGGGAGGGGGGGGGGTGGAAGTGGCAGGGGGGGGGGTGTTTGAATTGTACCGGGAGAGAGAGAGGGCATGAGAACGAGGTTGGTGAGCGCTGCCCCATGGCCCACTATAAAGAGCCGTGTGCGCCGAAACAAGGAACGAGCTTCCAGGGAGGCGAGGGAGGGGAGGGAAGAGGGGGTGGGGAGGGAAGAGGGGGTTGGGAGGGGGGGGGGGAGTGACAGGGGAGGGGGAGGAGGTTGGTGAGAGCTGCCCCGTGACCTGCTATGAAGAGCCCTGCTCGCTGAAACAAGGCGCGAGTTCCAGAGGAGGGGAGAGAGAAGGGAGGATAGGCAGGGGAAAAGAGGCAGGGCGGACAGGTAGCTGGGAAACAAAGGGATGAGGTGGATTGTTCAAGGAGTGGAGGAATATGAAGAGGCATTGGTGAGTGCTGCCCGCTGCTCGCTGGTGATAAAGACGAGGTTATGAAGAGACACAACAGGGACAGACACGTGTGAAAGAAGTGAGTTTCTGAGACGTCTTAAGGAGACATAACAAAGGGCAGATATTTGTAGGGCATAACAAAGGGCAGATATTTGTAGGGCATAACAAAGGGCAGATATTTCCTCCAAAACGAGCACTAAGTTGTAGGGGGGCAGAGGGAAAAGGCAGGGGGGGGGGAGGCAGTGGGGAAGAGGTTGCTGAGGGGGGAAAGGTGTGACCCTCTGAGCAAAAGGATGGGCGAAGGTGGCTTAAGAGACTTGCAGCAGGACAAGACACAGCCACAGCCACACCATAAACACTGCCAGCATCACTTTCGAGAATTCTCAAGAGATGAGATCATTTTCTTTGAAGGAATCGTACCTTGTAGAACTGTGAGAGACCCAGTGAAGAGCACGATTCTCTCCTTGGGAAACGCCTTTTCCACCACTGCCTGCACCTCATTAAAGTACCAGGAAAGCCCCGTGATTGAAGAAGGGTTTTGAGACGTCTCAAAACCCTTCTTCAATAACGCCTTTTCCACCACTGCCTGCACCTCATTAAAGTACCAGGAAAGCCCGCCCGCACCAGGAACAAACATGAAATCGTACCTTCCAAAACAGTTAATGACCCAGTGAAGAGCACGATTCTCTCCGCGGGAAACATCCGCTCCACCACCGCCTGCACCTCGTTAAAATTGCTAATGGATCGCTTCTTAGAGAGGCGCTTCGCCAGCACCACTACCCAGTCGGGTGGCAGCGCCTGCGCCTGCTGGGACGACAGCGGCTGTGGTGGCTGGTAGGACCAGTCGGGGTGGAAGAGAGGCAGGCCGCGTGGGTGCAGTAGGTGGGTCCGCCTGAGGGATTCCCAGAGAGCTTTCGAGGGGTTGCCACAGTCCTGAGTCATGGGCTGGATGGAGGAGGGGTTGGGGGAAGGGAATACACGTTCAGAAGAGAGGCAATCCCAGTGGGTGCAGCAGGTGGGTGCAGCAGGTGGGTGCAGCAGGTGGGTGCAGCAGGTGGGTGCAGCAGGTGGGTGCAGCAGGTGGATGCAGCAGGTGGGTGCAGCAGGTGGGTGCAGCAGGTGGGTGCAGCAGGTGGGTGCAGCAGGTGGGTGCAGCAGGTGGGTGCAGCAGGTGGGTGCAGCAGGTGGGTGCAGCAGGTGGGTGCAGCAGGTGGGTGCAGCAGGTGGGTGCAGCAGGTGGGTGCAGCAGGTGGGTGCAGCAGGTGGGTGCAGCAGGTGGGTGCAGCAGGTGGGTGCAGCAGGTGGGTGCAGCAGGTGGGTGCAGCAGGTGGGTGCAGCAGGTGGGTGCAGCAGGTGGGTGCAGCAGGTGGGTGCAGCAGGTGGGTGCAGCAGGTGGGTGCAGCAGGTGGGTGCAGCAGGTGGGTGCAGCAGGTGGGTGCAGCAGGTGGGTGCAGCAGGTGGGTGCAGCAGGTGGGTGCAGCAGGTGGGTGCAGCAGGTGGGTGCAGCAGGTGGGTGCAGCAGGTGGGTGCAGCAGGTGGGTGCAGCAGGTGGGTGCAGCAGGTGGGTGCAGCAGGTGGGTGCAGCAGGTGGGTGCAGCAGGTGGGTGCAGCAGGTGGGTGCAGCAGGTGGGTGCAGCAGGTGGGTGCAGCAGGTGGGTGCAGCAGGTGGGTGCAGCAGGTGGGTGCGTCTGAGGGATTGCCAGAGCAGCGTGGAGAGATTGCCACAGTCCTGAGTCATGGGCTGGAGGGAGCGGGCAGTGGGGAGGGGGGGAGGGTGGCGACAGGCATGAGCTGACTCGGTATGAGTGGGTGGTAGGACCAGTCAAGGCGGAAGAGGGAGAGCCCACGCAGGCGCAGTAGGTGGGTCCGCCTGAGGGATTGCCAGAGAGCTTTCGAGGGGTTGCCACAGTCCTGAGTCATGGGCTGGAAGAAAGGGGGGAAAGGGGGAGAGAGGGGGGGAAGAAGGGGTGGAGCAAGTAAGTCCTGGGGATGTATGAGCGGGCGTCACGAGGGGTGGCAATCGCCTCCCTTATGCCTTCACACACGAGGGGTAGCAATCGCCTCCCTTATGCCTTCACACACGAGGGGCAGCAGGAGCAGGAGCTGGCATACACTGACCTCGTAGAGAGTGTGAACAAAGAAGAGGTCTGCCTTCACGAGGGGCAGCGACCGCATTGCACCATACTTCACTCCTATCAGCACCTCGCCGAAGCGCTTGTATGCGTCCCACTGGGGCCACGCCACGAGCGAGGCATGGGAAGAATGCAGGGGGGAGAAAAAAAAAGAAAAAAAAGGAAAAAAAAGAAAAAAGAAAAAAAGGAAAAGGGAGGGGAGAGGGAGAAGGAGGAGGAAAGGTTGCTGTTGCAACGAGAGAGTCATCTAGAGTGGTGGGCAGAAGCCAATAGAAGTCATTGACAGTAGTAAAAAAGGTCAACCGCCGTCAACTACAGCGGTAAACAGCGGTCAACAGCGGTCAACAGCAGCCAGCAGTGGTCAACAACGATCAAGAACAGACACCTGCATGCGTACATCAATGATAGGGATGGAGGGCAGAAGCAGCAGTGGTGCCTCAACAAGGGACAGACACATTCAAGAACAGCCAGCAAAAGTTACCAACGCGTTAAAGCCACACCTGCATGTCTTCAGCGAGGATGGGGAAGGAGGGCAGGATGGAAGGCGGCAATGACGTGGCAACGAGAGACTACACAGTCAACAACGGTCAGCAGCAGTCCAGAACGGTCAGCAGTGGCCAAGAACGGTGAGAAACTGTCAAAGAACTCACCTGCATGTCTTCAGCGAGGATGGGGATGGAGGGCAGGATGCGAGGCAGCAGTGGTGCAGCAACGAGGAAGAGAGGCATTGTCTCAACAATGAAGTGGTAGAAGTTGTTCCCCTGCGAGTACGCCCAGCTGAACGCCGCTGGCAGCACGTGCACCTGTTGTTCTGCTGAGTAGGATACCTGCTTGGAGGGGAGGGGGGTTGGGTGGGTGCGTTGGAGGGGATAGTTAGAGGCAACGACAAACAGCGGCATGTTCTCAAACAATGAAGTGGTGGAAGTTGTGAATAAGCCCAGCTGAACGCCGCTGGCAGCACGTGCACCTGCTGCTCTGCTGAGTAGGATACCTGCTTGGAGGGGGAGGGGAGGTGGGGGGAGTAGGTAGAGGTAAAAGAAGAGCAGCATGGATGCGACTTTTGAGAATTCTTTATAGTCGCGCCAATAGAGCAGCATGGATGGAATGAAGGTAGCGGTTGAAGCACACCCAGTGATGAAGGCTGTGAGTGCCATACGTGCAGCCTTCATCACACAACCCCTGAACACCCCTCCCTGAACTCAGAAGAACTCACGTTCCTGCCTGAACCAGAGCAATCCTGGCACCCACCCACCCACCCACCCACCCACCCACCTACCCACCCACCTGCCCCTGATCCCAACGCCCCTCTCTGAGCGCACCTCAGTGAAGCGGTTACATCCCGGGCGCACGAAGCTGTGAGTGCGGTTGAACACAGACCCCTTGGCCGTCACATACACGTGCTGCAGCTGCATCAGCTGCGGGGCGCTCGGGTAGTGCGGGCTGAAGTCCTGCTTGTGGGAGCACGACTCGTCGTACCCATCATACACGTGCTTCGATGTCCGCCCCTCTCCTCCATCTCCCACTCCTCCTCCCACTCCTCCACCTTCTAATCGTCTTCTTTGTCTTCCTTCCCCTTCCCCTCCCCTTTCCCCTCCCCTTTCCCCTCCCCCTCCGCCTCCCCCTCCCCCTCCCCCTCCCCCTCCCCCTCCCCCTCCCCCTCCCCCTCCTGCCCCCTCTTCCAATGGCCTTTCGATTCTCTTAGGGCAGTTCACGGGCGGTTCAGGCCAATATATCTCCGGCTCGACTAGGTTCGGAACCAAGCAGGCCCGGAGGTTCGGGAAGCGGGGACCGCAGGAGGCCATGGAGGGACAGGTGTCGCCGCGGCATTGGGCGAGAATGCCCCATTTTGGGTCGTGCTCGAGGTAGTGCAGCATGACTCGCTGCTGATTGGACGAGTTGAACGCGAAGCCTAGTGGCTCGATGAGGAGATTAGCCCTCTCACGGTGAGTCCTGGAGCAAGCAAGTGGAACAGGGTGAGGGATGGGGAGGAAGAGAGGGAAAAAGGGGGTCTCGTGCTCCAGGTAGTGTAGCAGCGCTCGCTGCTCGTTGGACGAGTTGAGTGCGAAGCCCAATGGCCCAATGGCCCAATGGCCCAATGGCTCAACTAGCAGATTGGCCCGTTCGTGGTGGGTCCTGGGGCGAGCGGAACAAGGAGAGGGATGAGGGGACAGAGAAGGTATGGGGCATGAGGGGATGGGCACAGGCATGTAGCACCCTTGAGAAGCACAACTGATGGACAGGAACGAAGCACTATTTACTAGCACACCTGATGGGCTAGCACTCTATACTAGCACACCTGATGGGTTAGCACTCTATACTTGCACACCTGATGGGCTAGCACTCTATACTAGCACACCTGATGGGCTAGCACTCTATATTAGCATACCTGATGGGCTAGCACTCTATACTAGCACACCTGATGGGCTAGCACTCTATACTAGCACACCTGATGGGCTAGCACTCTATACTAGCACACCCGATGGGCTAGCACTCTATACTAGCACACCTGATGGGGACAGGCACGTAGTACTGCAGCTCGGCTTCGAAGGTCTTCACCTGCCCCACCAGCTGCAGCTGCCTCCGATGCCCCATGCTGCCGTCGCCACGCATGACGATGTGCCTGTTGCTGCCGTTGCCATGCGGGATGGCATGGCTTCTGCTGTTGCCGTTGCCGTGCATGACGGCAGGTTCGTTGGCGTCACAGCCAAATGCGCCACGAGCGGCGCAGGCCAGGAGCAAGACGACGGGTGCAATCCACAAGTCACTCTCGGAAATCCCTGAAAGCCCGCTTAGCTTCCGTACAACGCGATTCCTCATTGGACTCAAACGTCGCATCATGGACGTGCATGCGCAGAGCGAAGGATTTTAAGGGATGTCAAGATGGGGATGCGAGAATCTACAGCGACTAATAGCCCCAGACTACCGCAATTTCTTATAATCTTCCAAAAACTCTGACCCTTTTACTGATCTACATCAGGGGCAGAAGATTCTGGATGGTCATCGCAGTCGACCAGCACGACGCTCGTCATCCATTCTGGATGTCCCAATTGAGTCGATCACTGCTCTCGTGTCTTCTTGAATGTCAGTCCTAAAACTGGACATGAAATTTTGACTAGACAAGAACGACACAGAAATCGGCTGGGGAATCTCAGGAGTAAGAAAGGTGGAGAACAACGCCTACCCACTGACTGATCACATCACATCATGTTCTTACAGTTTAAGCTCCGGTGCGGTCTATTTCGTTACCTCGCGATGTCAAACGGTGAAGCTCGATAACCGCTTGGCACAAAGAAAAACGGTGGCATCCAATCCCAAGGTTGTTCAACAACGCAACCAACCAATAGAAATGTTCTGCACATTTCTGGTATTACTAGCGACTCACTAGGGGAACAAAACGTCACTACCGACCTGGATGTATTTAATTCCTTTCGGATAAAATTCTTCGCTAAGTTCTTTTACAAAGCACATGAGATTCCCATACGGTTTATATTCGCAGTGAAGAATGGACGGCGGACCTTATACCTGCAGCTGAGAGCTCTTACAACGATTACCCACAATACTGCTTCCACTCTCAGATGGGCTTGTGCGGTACGTGGCCAGCTTCCGCATGCCAGTTTGGGCCACATTTACCCGCATCGCCACGTCTTCTCCAGCTGTCACTTACCGTCACACCCAGGTTTGACTTTGATGTGGGGGAATGCTACTGCGGACGTCAGCAGCTTTTGACGCGACGTGATGAAATCTCAATGGTCATCACTCCGAATTCGTCGCTCCATTCCCCCACAAGCACGCACACCCTCCCTACCTAACTCTGTCAGAGCTCTGAGGAGCAGTAGGGATCTTAGTATTTCATGGCTTAGTATGTGGGCGTTGTTCGTTACATCAGCGGCAGCAGCCCATCTACTTTCGCACCTTGTCCTTGGCGGGTTATTTCTGCTTTCCCAGGCTTGTTCGTGGCGTAGTCAAATCCGTTTACGGTAATCCTCTCTACATGGCGCAGAACCCCTGTAACGTATTACCCTAACTACCGAGCTAACAACCATCGATCTCTCTCTAAGTCAATTGTTGAGAACTTCTCTCGACAAAGGAAGAGTTGGAGAAGATGGTTGAGTTGGTTGGGATGAAACTTGGTTTGGGTTTGCCAAGCCTCAACTTTGGAGGTTTGGAACATTTCCAACTCAACCAAGAGAATGTTGAAGGTTGGAATTCCAACCAATCAGAAACTGCCAAACAAGTGTCACAATCTACTCTATCCTAAACACAACCATTGAATGGTTCTAAGTTGGGTTTTCCAACCCAACACAATTGCCACATAGGCTCCAAGCCTAGGAACCATCCCACCATGGAAACCATGGTTGGGATAGTTCCCCAAGGGGTGTATTGAGGGGGTCTGAGCTAAGCAAGCTCATTCTCAACCTCCCACTCCAACAAAACAATTGGAAATGGGATTGTTTCTCTAAGTCCTTTTGGGCTCTCTCACAAGTCTCCCTACACTACTACTCCAAGTGCTTTTCATCAAAGGCATAAAGAAGATCTTCATCTCCAAGGCTATTAAGGCTAGTTAAAGCTACTATTTTGTATTGGAATATTATAAAAGCCTTGTAACCGCCATTATAATAGCCCTGGGCATTACATTGGTATCTAGAGCAAGGTTCTTCCTTGGCCTTGTGTGGCCATTTGCTACTTGGACTATTTTTTTTAGAGGATCCTAGCTTGTGGATCCAGTATTTCATCCAAGGAGCTATCAAGATCTTTGAAGATTTCGAAGAAATTTCAAGATCTACAAGTGGTTCTTCAAGATCTACAAAAGCTTCTACAAGATCTCCAATCTTCAAGCTTCAATCTCCTCAACACACCATTGGAGCTTCAAGATCTACAAGGAGCTCATTTTTCTTCATCAACATTGAGAAGAAATTTGAAGAGATTAATTTCTCTTACCCACCTTTGGTGGAAGACTCTTGATCTACTTTGTGTAGAAGAGTGTACCTTCAGATCTATAAAGGGCTTGTTGAGGATTACTCTCTTGAGTATATCTTGCTCTATCATTGAGGTGATAGAGAGATTTGGCAAACAAGTCTATCTTAAGAGATTCTGTATTGGATTATTCTATAAGAGTAATCAGATTTCTTAAAGATTATTATAAGATCCGTTGAGATCTCCTCTCCTTAACCTGTTTCATGGCTGCTGGTCAAGAGATGGATGCTACTAAGGAGGTGCCCGTTGTTGGCACTGAGGGAGATAATGCTGCTGCTGCTGCTGCTGACATTGATCTCAACCTTGAGGATTTCGTGGTTGACATGGAGATCAATGGAAGTGAAGCTGACCTTGAGGCTGATGCTGAAAATGAGGAAGAGGCTGGCTCTGATGAGGGTGTTTCCAATGAAACTGAGAACATTGCTGTCAAGCTCCAGACTCAACTCACGGAGCAGAATATTCTCATTAGAGTGCAACAGTGTCGTATCCAGAACTTGGAGGCTGATTCTGTTAAGCTTCAGGCCTTGATTGAGCAACTGACCAGGGAGGTGCGGTTGATCCCTAAGGAAAACGACACCTCCAGCCTCATTCAGGACCTGCACAACACTCTTCAGTTCGTGCAGGATCAGCTCAAGAAGCAGGAGAAAAGCATCTCTGTGCTTCAGACCCAGTACAGGGAGATCCGGCGTGGAAACCTCTACCAGCCTGCTCCTGCAGCAGAGCGAGTCGCCAACACCACTAACAGCCGTGCTGCACCTGCTGATGCACCTCCTGCTGTTCCTCCTCCTACTGGAGCACGTGCTGAGCCTCCTACTGCAGCAGCAACTGCCTTTGGCTCCTGCCCTTCGGCCCTGCCTCGTTTTGTCCATGGCAAGACCGACGTCGAGACTTGGCTCTCCATTGCGGAGGACTTTATGTCCATCCACAATGTGCGTAGCGAGGCTCGTGTGGTCGCTGCAACCCTTGCCCTGGACGACACTGCGAGCAAGTTGGTGTATGCCAACAAGCGCCACGCAGAGGCTAATGGCCATCCTTTTGGCTGGGAGGAGTTCAAAGCTGCCATGCTGGCGGCATTCTTGAGTCAGCCCCCGGCGCTCGAGGTGCGTAGCCGCCTGAAGAACATCCAGTGCGGTGACCAGCCTGTACGCGAGTACGCCAAGGAGTTTGAGAAAACTCTGTCGCTGCTGAAGACTGCTCTTCCTGAGAGCGAGGTCATCCACCAGTTCTTCAAGGGTCTCCCTGAGCACATCAAGCGTGTGCATGTTGTGCGCGGGGAGCACTAGTGGAGGACCTACAAGGAGTGCAAGGAGCAGGTCATTGACACGGATGTGAATTTCCGTGCGTACATGACTCACGCCCGTGCTCAGCAGCAGCCTAGTGCCGAAGGCCCTAGGGGGGGTGGTAACAGGACTCAGGCACACAGGGGCAGTGGCTCTTGGAAGAGGCCCTATCAGCAGAAGGGGGAATCCTCTGGGACTCAGTCCAAGAGGGCCCATGCTGGGCCTGCCAAGGATCCTCAGGATGAGGATAAGCCCCCGGCAGGCTGCCGCATCTGTGGCAAGCTCGGGCACAAGTCCTATCACTGCCGTTGGAGGAAGTCCGTCAAGAACTCCGGCAAGCCCAACCAGGGCAAGAAGCCGGATGGTTCTGGCCCTTCGGGCCCGAAGGATTTTCCGAAGTCCAACTAGGGGGTGGGTACCTAGTTGGTGAGCGAGATCGAGTAGATGAGGCTTATGTCCTTCGTGATGAGGATTTGCTAAAGCTAGAGAAGCTTGCATCATGCAAAATCGCTTGTTTGTATGCCTCTTCTATTAATGAAAAATCTGTTTTTAAAACTCGATCATACCCACTTGAAAACATCTCAATTGAATCCTTGAGAGATAAATTTTCAATCATCTCTTGCTCGTTCAACGAGTTGCCAGCAATCATGGATATTGTGGACCGTTGTGTCCAAGAGCACCCGCTCACGTCAGTGGGATTGGTGACTCGAATCGTGAAAGGAGAGTTGTTCCGCCGATTTCACGAATGGCATATCCTGGCAACATGGGACAAGGGGCACCATGTTTGGTGGACCACATCCCAAAGGTTTGGACGCGCTCACAACAAATTTAGGGTGTACTTTCGACCTCCTAAACTTGTTGTCGCTTGTCCCATCCGTCCAAGATTTCAACAGGATCTACTGTTATCTGGACGCATGAATGGGGACGAAGCAAGGATTCTCGTCGATACAGGCGCGTCGGTTTCCCTTGTTGATGAAACTTGGGTTACGACACGCAACGTCCTCGTTGTAGGACCGTTGTGTCCCATCCGCTTGGGTGATGATCGTGTCATTCCAAGTAAAGGACAGACACATATCGACATGAAAGTACAGGACTATAGCGAAACAGTTCGCGTATATGTCCTACCACTTTTGTCAGGAGTCGACCTCATCCTGGGCATGGATTGGTTGAGAGCCAACGAAGTTATTCTGGACTTCCAGTACAACATTGTCTCGTTCAACAAGAACGGAAAGGCAATCCAGTGGCAAGTCAATGATACTTTGCCCACTGAAACACAGACGCCTGAACGTCCTAGCGCGCTGTGTGTGTTGGCCAACCAATTCGGGCATTCTGTTAAGTCGGCTGATACACTATTCGCGGTACAGCTTGAGAATGTCGAGGCCTCGGAGCCAGCAATTGAGGATTTTCCTCCTCAAATGAAAATACTGGCAGAGGAATTCAAGGAAGTGTTTGAAACCATCCCTGATGGACTTCCGCCTGACCGCGCAGTGGGTCACACCATCCCTGTTGAACCAGGAAAGGTTCCACCATTTCGACCTCTGTATCGCCTCAGTCCAGCTGAGTACGAAGAGGCCAAACAACAGATCGAGGAATACCTCAGAAAAGGATGGATTGAACCCAGTGCATCCCCTTACGGAGCACCAATTTTGTTCGTTAACAAGAAGGGCGGAGGATTACGCATGTGCGTAGATTATCGTGCCTTGAACAAGATTACGGTGAAGAACAGATACCCTCTACCACGAATTGAGGATCTGTTCGATCGGCTCCAGGGAGCTCAGTGGTTCAGTGCGCTGGACTTAGCTCAGGGGTATCATCAGCTACGAATCACCGAAGAAGATGTTCCAAAAACGGCTTTCATAACGCCGTTCGGGCATTTTCAGTGGCGTGTGTTAAGTTTTGGCTTGACAAATGCTCCCGCGTCATTTCAGCGAGCAATGAATGATGTGTTTCGGGAGGCAATCGGCCAATTCGTCCTGGTATACTTGGATGACATCCTCATGTACTCGAAGACCGAAGAAGAACACACGCAACACCTGAAATGGGTGTTAGGAAAACTGCGAGAGCATAAATTCTTTGCTCGATTGTGGAAGTGTCACTTCTACAAGCGCGAGTTGGAATACCTTGGTCACTTGGTAGGCAACGATGGCCTCAAAGTTGATCCAAAGAAAGTGGCGGCAGTCCAACAGTGGCCCGTTCCACAGGACGTGGGACAGGTCAGATCATTTCTTGGACTTGCGAACTATTTTCGCCGTTTCTTGGAAAATTATTCCTCCGTAGTCGCCCCACTGACTGCCCTCACTCGTAAGGGTAATGCTTGGCAGTGGACCGATCAATGCCAGAAGGCATTTGAGGAGGTGAAAACCATGCTGACCAATGCTCCAGTGCTGGCTTTGCCAGACCCGTCCAAGCCCTACGAGGTGGTAACTGATGCCTCGACAGTAGGGATTGGAGCAGTTCTTTTGCAAGAAGGACGCCCCGTGGCATTTGAGAGTAGAAAGCTTTCACCGGCTGAGCAGCGCTATACAACTTCCGAACAAGAATTGTTGGCGGTTGTGCATGCGCTACGAATATGGAGATGTTATCTCGAAGGTGTTGACTTTGTGGTCACGACCGACCACTGTCCGAACACCTATTTTGCCACTCAAGCCACACTCACCCGCCGTCAAGCTCGATGGGCTGAACTCCTGAGTGGGTTCACCTACGATATTCGATATCGAGCGGGCTCGACGAACATGGCTGATCCTCTGAGCAGACAGCCGATTGGGGCAGCAACGGGTGTTGATGATAAGGAACATGAAGCTGTGTTTGCTGCTTGTTTCAACATCCTCGCAGCTGCTCGAGTGAGCGAGATTGCCTTTGGTGGTTTTCTGAAACGCATCCGCGCAGGGTATGATATTGACCCTTGGTTTCAGAACCCACAGAATACAAACAATCTCTTGTGGGAGCATGAGCTCTGGTGGCACAAGAAAGAAATTGTAGTCCCACATGTGGGAAACCTGCGGAATGATATTCTCGCAGAGGTGCACGCCACTAAGTATGGAGGACACCTGGGTGTCAAGAAAACCCGGTGGGCCCTCAGTGATGTATACTGGTGGCCGGGATTGGGCATTGAGGTCCAGCAGTTTGTAACTCGCTGTGACACGTGTGCACGGAACAAGCCGAGCACACAGAAGCCTGGTGGTCTGCTTCAACCACTTGAGATTCCCGATGAACCTTGGGAGAGTGTATCGATGGATTTTATCACCGATCTCCCCAAGACGCGAGATGGTCATACAGCGATACTAGTGTTTGTGGATCGCTTGACCAAAATGGTGCACTTCGTGCCCACGACGACTGACGTGTCTGCGGAAGATACGGCAAAGTTGTTTGTGACACACGTTTTCCGCTTACACGGTTTGCCTCGTGTGATGGTGTCTGACCGAGACCTGCGCTTCACAAGCCGGTTCTGGCAAGAGGTCATTAAGACACTCGGAACGAAACTCAAGATGTCGTCTGCGTTCCACCCGCAAACGGATGGACAGACAGAGCGGACCAACCGCACTCTTGAGCAAATGCTTCGTTCTTTCATAAGCCCAACTCAGGACGATTGGGATGAATTGTTGCCAGTCGTGGAATTCGCTGTAAACAATTCTGTGCATGAAAGCACCCATGAGAAACCCTTTGTCCTGAACTGTGGTCGGCACCCCACAACCCCCGCGACGCATGGGATTAAGAACCTCAAAATCCCTGCCGCAAAGGACTTTATTGGAAAACAGCAAGCGACATTGAAGTCCGCTCGCCATTGGCTGCAGCTTGCCCAACAGAGGCAAAAGTCCTATGCCGACATGAAACGCCGGGAAGTCGTCTTTGCAGTTGGCGACAAAGTATTACTGAGTACGAAGAACATTCGTACAAGATCCCGGGAGCACGAAAGCTTTTCCCTCGTTGGATTGGGCCCTTCGAGGTGATTGCGCGTGTTGGTGAGGTCGCATATAGGCTCAAATTGCCTGCGACATTGCAGATTCACAACGTCTTCCACGTGTCTTTGTTTAATAAGTACGTTGCAGAAGGCAAGTACTTACCGCCACCAACCATCGCTCTCGAGAAGGAACTCTTTTATGAAGTCGAGCGTGTGCTAACGCACCGTGATCGACAACGCGGCCGCAAAACTGTTCGTGAGTTCCTAATTCAGTGGAAAGGCTATGGGCCGGAACACAACTCTTGGGAGCCTGAGGAACACTTGACCGAAGCAGCGGTTCAAGCGTATATGGAAGACCTGGCTCTACGAGCAGGCCCACAACCAGTGGACGGGGTTGACCCTGGTCGTAATGTGGTGCGCCGTGCTCGAAGCACTCGTCCTCAGAAGCACCCTAGGGCAACGGAGACGTTGCCACCTGGGGGGGGAGGAGTGTAACTTATTACCCTAACTACCGAGCTAACAACCATCGATCTCTCTCTAAGTCAATTGTTGAGAACTTCTCTCGACAAAGGAAGAGTTGGAGAAGATGGTTGAGTTGGTTGGGATGAAACTTGGTTTGGGTTTGCCAAGCCTCAACTTTGGAGGTTTGGAACATTTCCAACTCAACCAAGAGAATGTTGAAGGTTGGAATTCCAACCAATCAGAAACTGCCAAACAAGTGTTACAATCTACTCTATCCTAAACACAACCATTGAATGGTTCTAAGTTGGGTTTTCCAACCCAACACAATTGCCACTTAGGCTCCAAGCCTAGGAACCATCCCACCATGGAAACCATGGTTGGGATAGTTCCCCAAGGGGTGTATTGAGGGGGTCTGAGCTAAGCAAGCTCATTCTCAACCTTCCACTCCAACAAAACAATTGGAAATGGGATTGTTTCTCTAAGTCCTTTTGTGCTCTCTCACAAGTCTCCCTACACTACTACTCCAAGTGCTTTTCATCAAAGGCATCAAGAAGATCTTCATCTCCAAGGCTATTAAGGCTAGTTAAAGCTACTATTTTGTATTGGAATATTATAAAAGCCTTGTAACCGCCATTATAATAGCCCTGGGCATTACAACCCCTCAGCACCGACCTCATCGTTGGAGCCGCCGAGTCTGCTGGTGGTGGGGGCAGGTCCGGTGGGTCTCGTCGCTGCGTGCGAGTTGCGGCGCCACGGGCTGCACGTGCGCGTCGTGGAGCGGAATTGCGCACCGTCGGAGCACTCCAAGGCGCTGGCGCTGCACGCGCGCACGCTCGAAATTCTATCCGCGCATGACGGCGTCGTGGACGCTTTAATTTCCGCGGGAACCATAGTACAGGTGAGGGCCAAATTCCCGCGGGAGAAGTATAAGTTCAAGTGAGAGAGGTGCAAATCACCATTTTCTGCGATTCAGTGACAAACTGTAACCCTAATTCGTGTTTTTAGTGTTGAAAAATTGGTTCGATCAACGATTCGTTTCTTTCTTCCCAACTGTAATGCCGATTTCCCTGTCCGATGTCCATCTCCAGTGTCCCTCTCTGATGCCCCTGTTCGATATCTACATGTCCGCCCAGGGAATTGAGGTCCGAACAGACGGACACCTGGCAGCGTCGCTCTCTCTGTCCGATTTAAATGGCGGCCCCCCTGCCGGAGATGATGGCGGACGGCACGGCAGGGACCACGGCCTGGCGCGCCGCGAGGAGCAGTCCGCGGATTGCGGGGATGACTCACGGCCGAGCGTGTGGGCGACGCGGTTCCCGTTCGTGCTGATGGTGCCGCAGAGTGACACGGAACGGATTCTGGCGCGGTGCCTCAAGGACGTGTATGGGACGGATGTGGAGTGGCAGACGGAGCTTGTCAGAATCCGTCAGGACCCGAGTGCAGTGCACGTGGAGCTACGGCATGCGCATGGTCGCACGAGGCAACCCCCCACCCCTGCCACTCCATCCGACTCCGCAGCCACTGCCGCAGAGACTAGCACAGGGACTGCAACCACAGGAACCAGAGGAATAGGGCGTGAGATGGAGAGTGAGGGTTGGAGAACGGTGGAGGGGGTTGAGGTGGGGTGGGGCGAGGTGGAGGCGGCGGCGTTTGACCTGGTGTGTGCGTGTGACGGACCGCACAGCACGTGCCGCCGCCAGCTGGGGCTCTCCTTTGACGGGCTGCAGTACCCCATGCACGCGCTCCTCGCTGATGTGGCGCTTTCCCATTGGCCGTTCCCGAGGAACAAAGGCCACGTGTTCACTCGAGGCAAACGTGTGGTGGCACCCGGTGTGGGGGGGGGGAGGGGGAGGAGGGGGAGGGGGAGGTGTTTTAGTTGCTCTGCCGTTTGGGGTAGATGGCTTGTGGCGGTTGATCTTTGATGAAGGGACGGCCAGGATGTTTTCTCCCGCGGGCCTGATTGAACAAACCGAGGCCCTCAGGCAAGGCAAGGGGAAGGCAGTGGAGAGAGGTGGGGCAGCAACCGGGGAAGTGGGGGAACAGGGGCTTGGGGCAGGGACAGGGAGGGGAGGTGACAAGAATGAGACTCCATATGTGGAGATCCCATCTTCATCCTCAGCAGATGTATCTCAGACCACAGAGGTCTCTCCATCAGCACGAGACATCCCATCAGCATCAACAGTAGAAACCCTCTCCACTGCAGAAGTCTCATCCCCAGCACTCGTATCTGAGACCGCCCATCATGGTCCGGCCGCCATCCCTTCCGCCCCGCTTTCTTCCACTGCTCCTTCTTCTGCCTCTGCTTCTAGTCTTGCCGCTGATGGTTCTGGTGGTGTAAGCGCTGATACAGCACCGTCTTCTTCCCCAGTGACAGCTCAGCAGCCAGGGTTGACACCTCAGCATATGTCCGCCATGCTCAACGCCATCGCGCCATGTGGCGCCCACGTGGATAGAATCCATTGGTGCAGCGTTTTCAGCATGCACCTGCGCTCCCTAAACCATTTCATCCAATCGCGCGTCTTATTCCTAGGCGACGCAGCCCACATACACAGCCCTGTGGGCGGCCAGGGGCTTAACACAGGAGTGCAGGATGCTTATAACGCAGCGTGGAAATTGGCTCTGGTGGGAAGGGGCATCGCAGGGTGGGAGCTATTAAATACGTATGACACAGAGCGAAGGGCGGCTGTGGCGCAGGTTCTTAAAGCCACGGATGTCGGCACTCGGGCTATGTTCCTCCCAACCCTACTCACCTCACTCTCTCGCTCCGCCGCTTTCTTCCTCCTCTCTCACTCACACTCCCTCAGAGTCGCAGCAGCCGCCACTGTAGCTCAGCTATCCCTGCAATACCCCCTCTCCTCTCTATTCCATCAAGACCTCCCCTCCTCGCTCTCCTCCCTCCTCTCCTCTCCTCTCTCTGCTCCCCTGCGCCTACTCCCTCCGCCTCTGGCTGCTGTCTTAGCGCCAGCAGCAGCAGCTGCAGCAGCGCCAGGGGCACGGGCACCAGACGCCATGCTGCTGCTGCTGCTGCCCCCCTCTCACTACACCCACACTTCAGTATCACACGCCACTCCCCAATACAGTCCCACTCGTCACACTCGCACTGCGGCATCACAGTCTCCCCCTCAGTCCAGTGGTGGCGGCAGCAGCAGCAGCAGCAGCAGGAGGGTTGAAGGTGTAGCAGAGTCGCGCCAACAGCAGCAGCAGCACCAGCACCTGCAACAGCAGCAGCAGCAGAAAGCAAAGCAGTTGCAAAGGGCAGTGCAACTGCAGAAGGCATCGCAGCAAATGGGAGGAGGCGGGTGGCAGCCGTGCTCCATGCTGCACCTGCTCTCCTCCTGCAGCCCTGACGGAGGCACACCCTCCCACCACCTACTGCTGTTTGCCGGCACCGGCTTAAAGCCATCCCTGCTGCGACAGCTCAGGCTTTTTAAAGATGAAGCACTGGCAGCAGCGGTGGGGGGGAGGCGAGGGGCCGAGGGTGAGGAGTCTGCCTGGAAGGTTCCGGTTTCCGTGCATTGTGTGCTGGAGGCTCGAGCGCCTGCTGAGGGGATTGTACAGGCTTGCTGGGAGCTGATTGGTGGCCTGAACATAAACACGAGCAGCAGCAGTGGCAGCAGCAGCGGCGGCGGCGGTGGCAGCAGCAGCGGTGTGTGTGAGCCATGGGGGCAAGTGAGTGTGTGTGTGGATGCGCATGGGTATGCGTATGAGAGGTACCATGGGGATGCATGTCCGTTCTACCTGGTGAGGCCCGATGGGCATGTGGCGCTGAGGGCTGGCCAGTGGCAGCTGGGCAGGGCACAGGCGTACTTTGATGCGATCAGAGGGCGACTGGGCAAGGCTGGAGGGGGGTAGAAAGGTGATGAGGTGGCATTGATGCAAGGGTTTGATTTTGAGGGCGGGGCAATGGCAGCTGAGCGGGGCACAGGCGTACTTCGATGCGATCAGAGGGTGATTGGCCAAGGCTGGAGGGGGTTAGAGAGGTGGCTGTGGCAGTTTCAGTGGTGGGATGAGGTAGCAGGGTAGCAGGCATGCAAGTGCTCAGTTCTGAAGGCGGGTCAATGGCAGCCGGGCAAGGCACAGGCGTACTTTGATTGCATCAGAGGGCGAATGGGTAAGGCTGGAGGGGGGTAGAGAGGTGGCTGTGGCGTGAGCAGTGTTGGTGGTGTGTTGAAGCGGCAGTGATGCAAGTGCTTGATTATGATGGCTGGAAAATGGCAGCTGGGCGGGGCACAGGCGTACTTACATGGGATCAGAGGGCGAATGGACAAGGCTGGAGGGGTGGTAGAGGAGTAGCAGCGATATGATGCAGTGGCACTGGTACAGTATGAGGTGGCAGTAGCGTGATGGATGGTCGGTCAATGGCAGCCAAACAGGGCACAGGGGAATGGGCGAGGCTGAAAGGGGGTAGAGAGGTGGCAGCGGTACGATGAGGTGGCAGTAGCGTGATGGGTGTGACTGCTGTATGCATTGCCATTGCCTGGCCTAGTCCTTAGTACATGCTGGGTGGGTATGCTCCTTGTGTATATGTACGTGTGTGCATGGTGCATGGCTTGTGTGTGGTGCCTGCAGGTGCATGCCATATAAAGTTTTCAATGGCATGGCTGGCTGTTCTCGGTACCGAGGATGTGCTTGTAAATATGGTATGGAAGATGCAGCTTGGAGCATGAGCAGGTGACAGGCTAGTTTTCAGTAAGTTCTCGTAGTGGCTTGGCTGTGAGTGGATCACACCACGTGTGCTGTACAGTCCACATCTGCTTCAGTTTTGTATATAGGGGTGAAACTGTCAATTGTCATCTCATACCCGTAGAGCAATTTTATATGAAAGCCCTTGCCTTACAGCCTTCCACCATCTCCCTTGTCTCTTCCCTAACTTGCGGAGACTGGCCAAACAGAAATGGTGAATCCTACCCCCCCCCCCCCCCCCCCCCCCTCCTCCCAACCTCACCACCACCCCCCCCCCCCCCCCCCTCCCCTCCCCTCTCCCTCCCAGCAATCACACTCCCCAACTCCCTCTGCTCCCATATGTGCCACAAAAAGAATGAACTGAACCAGTTTATTATGTACACAAAAAACTTGACCTGAAGCCCCAGATTCCTAAACTGCGTTGCAAGACCAGCCAGGCATTAGAGGCACACTAATCCCTCCAGGATCCCCAATCTACGTCTGCCGGCTGGACGGCTGAATTACCTCCTCGCTGTCCCCTCTCCCCTCTTCCATCCCGCCAGCTTCTCCTCCCCCTTGACCCCGGTTTCCTAGCTCCAGCCCCCCGGCTCCTGCTTCCGCCAGCCCCACAACCATGTGCGCCAGCATCAGCTGCGCCATTTCCCCCTGCAGCTCCGCGTTTTTGCGCGACAGCCCCGCCACCAGGCGCTGCGCCTCCCCCATCTCGCGCAGCATCAGCGCCACCTGCCGCTCCAGATGCGCCACTCGCTTACTCTCGCTCTCCGCCCGCTTCTGGGCTTCTTGCAGTCGCTCGACCAGCCAAGCTTCGCGAACACAAGATGGTTCTCGAGAATTTGCGAACGAACTGCAGATACTCGCCGAAGCCTCGCGAAATTCTTTACCAATAACCGCTGCATCCGCCACCGGTGTCCTTCTCACCCCAATCCCCACCTCCCGAGAAACAGAATCCCTCAGGCTAGGAAACCCCAACCTAACCTCAGGCCTTGACCTCCCAATCGTCGTACGCTCGGCTGTTTGAGGTCCGAACCGCTGTAGCAGCGTCGAGTTTAGCGAGTCGCTGTGAAGACAACCGAGCATGAGCAACGCGATATCCTTCTGCGCCGTCACTGCAGGGCTGACGGCCGCCGGCAGGGGAGCAGTTACCTCCGGCAGAAAACGGTCCGCTTTGTCGCTGCCGAGCGGGGGAGGCGCCACTGGAGGCTGTTCGAAAACGAGCCTTTGGCGCTTTCTCTGCTGCTGGTGACGGTTGCACTCCGAACTTGGCCCTGGCCTTGACGAATCTGGCTCTGGTTCCGGGAGACTGAGGCTAAGTCCCAATTCTGTTCCCTTTCTGACAGGCTGCAAACGACTTCCGTCATCCACGCCGGTCGTTCCCTCCAGCGGCAGGACTCGTCCCCAGTCCGCTGTCAGAGGAACTTGGTGCTTCTCAGAAGTAGAAAGATGATACCGGCCGTGAGCCCCTGCTGCCTGCTGGATGTCGGTTGCTGGCGGTGGTCCAAGATTGGGAATCATCGCGAAGCGGCTCGGGTACGATTGCTCGTGGTATTTGGCGCCGTCTCTATCAGTGGTAAAACCATTGAAAAATTCGCGCTTGCTTCCCAGCACCATCTCGCTCTTAACGCACACCTCCACCTCCTCCTTGTGGACTACAGAGGTTATTGCGTCTGATTCGCGCTTCTGCTGCCTCTTCACGAACGCTTGAAGCACTTGGGAGGCCGCCATGGGCCGTGAAGATTGAATTGTAAGCAAACTCGCTCCGATCTGGTGTGTTAGAGCGGAAAAACAGCACCCAATAGGTTGTTGTTCTTATGGAATCTGCTATGTTTGACACACCCATTTGTCGATAATATAGTACCGAGACGGAGGAAGACGAAAAGAATCTTGATCTGCTTCCGAAGCGCAGCCCGAAAAGAACTAGGCTTAGTTTCGCTGGCAGTCCCTGCCCCGACGGCGCGCCCTTCGCTCAGCTGAAATCTAGAACCTCACCAAGCCAGTAAGAATCAAGGTTCGCAATCAGCAGAGATGCCAGTCGCCAGTTGATTTTCCCGTTGCCGCTGCCGCCAGGCTGGCGTTGCCCCAGAGCCAAGCTGCGTGCGGCAATGATACCTCTGACGATATCTAGATGAAATGTCGGTACCGCGTGCATCTAGTGACCACGCGATACTGCGTGTATCTGTGAGAACGACGCGACAGAACTGTACTGCCAGTTGTCACTGTATGTCTGGACAGCGGCAGCATCTACCAGGAGATTTACATCCGGACTGTTTCGCCCCGTCGGGACGGTACCGACGAGGTGTATGTGGCACTCCCAAGGTTTTTCGCGACGCAACTGGCAGCCCTCGTGACGGGATCTGAAACAACACTGATGGGAGCGGTCGCGTTTGTCCCATACTTCCGTGGCGGCATCCTAAACATCTGAAAGTCAACCACGGCTGCCAAGCAATCGGGGAGTACTTCCAACCAACCGACGCATCACACTACCCCCGCAGATAGGGACGATTTCGTCGGAGGACTGTGCTCGTTTTGCTTTTGCCGCATGGCCATGCAGCATACTAAATGGCCGCGGTGTCGCTGAGCGGCAACAGAAGGTGGGTCAGCAAAGAGGGCAAGGGCGTACGTGTCCGCTCTACGCGATTTCGCTTGTCTTGCTGCTGTTGCTCCTGCTGCTGTTGCTCCTGCTGCTCCCCCTGAGGGCGTATTCGAGACTTCGTGTCGTCTACGCTTCGTGTCATCCGAAATCATGGGATCCAATCGGAAAATTCGAATCTCGAACCGCGGGTTTTCAGATTGGCTTCCACAATTTCAGATGACACAAATTCGGGATGACACAAAGCTACGAATACGCCCTAACTGTCACTCTTTGAAAGTGAAGGTCGGCCAGCTCAACCCCAAACGAAAGCAGTGGCAGCTGAGCTGCACGAGATGCTTGCAACTGCAACCAAAGCGGAAAGGCGGAAGGGGGACAGGATGGAAGTACCATGCATACGCCTCTTTGAGTGACACGGCTTTGGAGAAGCATAAGAATACTAAACAGTGTAGCTTCGTAAGCATAATTCAAACCCGTTCCAAAAGTCAAGGTTGTGGGCTTATCTCTGAGAAAAAGCACATGACTTCGTTTTCATGCTCCAAAGAGTGATTTTTGGTGGATGCAATACTCTATGACAAGAAAAACATCCGAGGTCTTAAGAGAGGTCAATAAAGAACTCCATCCGTGGATCTAAGCAGCTTCCAACAGGACTTGTCATTTGAATATGGTTGGTAAAGTCAGCAGTCTTTCATTAAATGCGAATTTGTACAGCAGTCTTCAGGCTTCAACATACAGGCTATACACCCCATGCTGCAGAGACAAACAGTGGACATCTAGTCCGGACAAATTTCTGGCTCCGTCTGTCATGCTGAAGCGTCCGGTGTAAGGATGACAAGGAAGTCACGAGAAAAATCCGAGATCCTTAGTGCAAATATCATAATAACGGATGTGAGAAACATTGGGATAGGCCCAAAGAACCATAGCGCAAGAGGGAGGAGAAAGTAGAACGAGCGATTGCCCACAGTGCAAAAATTGTCTCCTCGTGCAAGAACTCTTTGTACGTAAGAGATGGAGAGGCCAGGAGTAGTCTCAGGATCAATGGGGATGGTGATAAGGAAATTTACATGGCTGAGGAATCGAATGGCCTGGAAATGGAAGGGAGGAACCCACGAGAGTTACCACCAACAACAAAAAGAGGGAAGCCACAACAAAGAATGACACAATAATCTAGGTTATTCAGAACTCACCTGAGTGTGGCATAGAAATGCGAAGAGGAAGCAAAGGAATACACAGAAGACTTTCAGAAGCAGCAGGTCAGATGAGGCTGATCCAACGGTCATGGAAGATAACGATTCTTGCAGGCTGTCAAGACGGATGCTGGTGAGGATTGTGGCGATTGCAACTGCACCCGTGGCTGAAGTGGAAGCCAGTAACACACATGCCATGATGGAGTTCCGGAGTGATTGCACTGCCAGCATGCCATTGGTGGCGTTGCTTTCCTGGTGAAAATGAGATGATAATTACCGTCAATAACTTTTCGGAAAGGTTTATCTGAAAGTAGCACGAGCCCAACGCTGAAAGATTTGAGCAAGAGTCTGACGTTGGTGAGGTCGTACGTGCCTTCATCACGCACTGCACCCAAGTGCGACGGTTGGTGTGAGCAACGCCAAGAACAGTAGCGAGGGGCCTGCGCTTTATCTGGGTGACCAGCCATGCGTGGTACGAGGCAAGCAGCAGGAGACCCGCTGGCACGAGCACCGCATCAAGAAGCGCATTGTGATAAACCATTACGTGATCCTACTCCTACAACTCCCGTAATTTTCTTCCGATCATCCAACCAAAGCATAAGTTGCCTGTCGGCGAGTCAACATCGCTGCCATGAACAAATGCCCATCTAGACGCCATCATGTGTAATTGCCTCAGAATGGAAATGCCTCACCTACGGATTCGGCCGAGGAGGAAGGTGTGAACGATGTAGCGTGTGTTGTTTCGTGTTGACGCGAAATAAGGGCGTGTAAAATCGGGACCTCCAAAAATACGGCCAGAATCCGTCGGGCCGTTTCTGCGAAAGTAACCAGTTTGCGGTTTTCGTCGTTTGTGTTGGCGAGAGTCGTGATTTTCGCAAAAACATAATAACGAATTTGATGGCCGTTTAAGAAGTCGACACGAAAACGACGCCGAGTCGACTCCAAAACGGCGACGAACCCGGCCCGACGTTGCGACACTGAATGGCGGTCTCGCAGACCCTCCATGCGACGATGACGATGTCGGAATTATGTGTACGAATTTGTCGCCCACTTTGAACAATGCAAATTTTACAACTTTCCGGAACCGGCCAGCAAATCGGCCTGCAGAGTTGTGAAATTCGCAAATTTGTAAATGGTGGATATATCGTAGTCGACTCTAATTCGGCCACCAAGTCGAAGTTCGCGAAAGATATGACGACCATATGGTCGTAAAAAAACCGGCCAAACCCCATTTTCAGACTTGTGCGTGGATTTTATTTACACGCCCTAACTTCAAGGCGATGTGACGCCCTAGTTTTAGGGTTCATCAGTACTGAAAAAAAACTCAAAAACTCATGATGTGAAGTAGAATGTACGGTAAAGCTGATAAAATACTCAAGATGTCAAGCACAATATAGTGAAGCCAGCAATTGCTAGTGAGCACAATACACCTATAAGGATTACGCCCATAGGTGCAAGCAGCCAATCAACCACACTACTGTGGTTGGTTCTGATGGACTTCACAACTCTAGAAACATTTTCCAACGTATCGTTCCACTCGCCTGTATTATCTATCACATAATCTGCCCGATTTACTTTGAGCTCCATTGGCATTTGAGCAGCCACTCTCCGCCGAGCATCATCTTCCTGCAGAGAGTTGCGCTTCATTAAACGCTCCACCTGCTGCTCCGTCTCACAAAAGACAACAATCACTGCTCGTGTAGCCCTGTTCAGACCGGTCTCGTAGAGCAGAGGAGCATCTAGAATGACCAGTGGGTGATTGGCCCACCAATGGGAGAAGAGCTGTCGTGCAATTGCGTAGGCAATGTGGGGGTGCATAATGCTGGAAGGGTGGAAGAGGGCAAAAATTAGTAAAATAAGCACTCATATTCATATGTATGTTTAAGCCCAGCATGAACGTGGATGCAGTGGGTGGGAGTGATAAACAGACTGAAAAAGGTCCAATAACAACCTGACGTGGCAATGCAGGGTGGTCAAGAAAAACCATGATATAAAATGAGGGTGAAGGAAGTTGCACGCATATACCCTTTCAAGCACCATCTGAGGCGACGCCTCACCTGTTCAGTTTCCTCCTTTTGTTAGCGTTGGCAAACACTATCTCCCCCAGCTTGTTACGATCTATCTCCCCTTCTGACGTCAGGACCGAAGGCCCAAATTCCTTCACCACTTGCGAATAAGCTGGAGTGTCCTTTCGCATCACGTCCTGATATGTGGCAGTAAGGAATGGGGCGAAGGGGGAGGAAGGCGAGGATGGGATGGAGGGGTGGAAGGGGAAGAACGAGGGGTTGGGTGGAAAGAAGCAGGAGGGGCGGAGAGAACAAAATTAGGATGTGATTGCGTAGGCCGTCAGCATGAGAGGCGTGCTCAAATACAGTATATTGAATAATAAGAAACGGAACTGGAAACGCTGGCAGCCTTCATCACTCGTTAACAAAGACGAGCAGGAATCGCTTATACAACCAGCGTCATGGCATCCTGAATACGATGTGTGTAGAGGAAAAGAATGCGGTGAAAACTTCGAGGGGAATTCAATCGTTGTAGCACAGTGTGATACCCCACATATGCATCTTGTAACGAGGTCTAGTCAAACATTCTGTTCCCTTGACGAATCAGATAGGTACCCAACGTTACAACATGATTCTACATAAGAGTGAAAAAAGAGAATAGAAAGAACGTACATGCGCTGTCTTGTCAGCGTCGATAACAGGAAAGCCGAACCGCGACTTGAGCTCCTGACACACAGTGCTCTTCCCGCTAGCTATACCCCCTGTCAAGCCGATCACCTTCATTGTCGCTAAGGGGGACTAACACGCGCTCGTTTAGCAGGACCAATGGTCCTAATCAAGCACCTTTAGGACGAAGCGGCATAGCACTGGCCCGCCTGTTACAACTACCTTACTACCACGTACTAATTCAGATGAAAATTGCTGAGATTTCCGCTTGGGGAGTTTCTGTTGGAGAATCGAGTTTCTGCCGCCCCAGCCCTTTGCACACAAGCAGCAGCAAGGGGGAATGTCGGCGATGAATCAGAGCTTCGGGAAGTACTTCGAAAGTTCCACCACCAATCAGATTTCAGCCGAAGACTCGATATAGTTCAAAGCTGCCTTCAAACCGAAGTGTTGGCAGTTCTACAGGTTTCTACACATCAGAATCAGCTATAACAGAAATATCCAGAATTTTCTTATTCATGCACCTCATGTGGCACTCAAAGTCACTCAAGGTCCATCCAATCTAGATTGTGCCCAAGTTACCAGGGAAGTTACATTGTCTATCAGCCTAGTTTGAGCTTTCAATCTGTCTTGTTTGTGATGCCTAGAGTTGTGCTTTAGTGGGCTTGTTAATCTTGAACATAGTGAAGTTTTTTCCTCATCCAGTCAATTCCAGCAGCCCTGCTAAGACTTTTCAGCCAAGTTTCCAGTCCTCCAGTAGTCACAGCTACTCTGTTTTACAAGTTGGTATCAGAGCTTGTCGTTTCGATCAACCTAGCCCACCACGTTCCTATCCTAGCACCATACGAACATGGCGGGAGACAATCCATCTGGTCCTGCACTCCAGCCAGCCGGAGGAGCTTCAGAGTCAACATCAGCAGCTACTGGATTAGTGGAAGCAGTTGCACCAGGCAGTCCTTCAACAACATACTCACCACTCACCTCCTTCATGCCTAAGCTTCACCTCCCCAAGTTCAACGGCAAAGATTTTCCAACATGGGCAACTCAGTTTGAGCTCACTGCATCCCTTCTGGATCTGTGGCCTTACTACACTGGAGAAGCAGCCAAACCAGCAGCAGATGCTTCAGAAGCTGAAAAACGACTTTACGAACGACGCAACAAGGAGGCCTTCCTCTACCTACTCAATAGCATTCACGAGCAGCAGTTGAAGTCGCTCCTGCCCTGTTCTACCAAGGCAAACAGTGCAGAGGAAGCATGGAGCCGACTGAAGACTATGCACCAGTCAAAATCCGAGAGCAGCCAAGCCGAGATGTGGAGCCGCTTCATGAATCTGAAGATGGAAGAAGATGAATCAGCACAAGCCTACCTACAACGAGCTGAAGCAATGCTGGAGGAAGCAGCAGCGATCGGCTTGGAGATTCCAGAGTCTCTTTTCAAGACCGTCATCCTCACCGGCCTTACACCGGAGTGGGACACTTTCCGTGCAACACTACAAGCGCTCCCGCAGTCAATGAAGAGTCGTGCGTTCATCTTTGAGGCCCTTGTCAACGAGCAGCAGAGTCGAGACCTTGCACGGAACAAGCGGAGTGACGAAGGTGCGTGGAGTGCTGCAGCAGCCACAAGATATGGCAACCAATTCCAGAGGCAAGGAAATTTCAGCCCAAACCGCCCTCAACCCTACTACGGTACGAAATTTCAGTCACCTTCCAACCCATACAAACCCTCTCGTTTTCCTCAGTCAAGTCCTCCCTATAAGTCCAGTCACTATGTCCAGCCAAGGCCTTCGATTCCCAATCAATACCAGCCTAGGAATGCAAGAGTCAATATGCCAAGAGTTAATAATTTCAGCCAAGCCCCGAATGCTAAAAAGTTTAATTTTGAGTGTTTTTGTTGTCATGAGTGGGGTCACCCGTGGTATGCTTGTCCTAAGAAGCCTCCTAATTGGGTCCCCCCACCTCAGCTACTATCTGAAAAAGGTAAGGCAGCCATAGCAAATATAGCAAGTCATTCTACAAGTCAAGATGAGTCCAAAGAGTCCGATGGTCCTGTCCTTTTTAACGCTGCTACTTGCATGCACGTTTTCTCTACTAGTAGTGAGGAGTTTATTCTTGATAGTGGCTGCTCTGAAACCATGACTCCCTATCAGTCCATTCTCAAGGATTTTCAGCCCTCATATGACTCAAAAGCTGTGACTCTTGCTGATCTTGGCAAAGTACCAATCAAAGGAGTCGGCAAGCTTGAGTTCGAAAAGGATGGTAAGTCATTTTGTGTCAATAAAGCTTTGTTTGTTCCTGATTTGGGAGCAAACTTGCTCTCAGCCGGGCAACTCGAAGAGAAAGGTGCCTCCGTTCTCTTGCAAGGGGGGAAAGCCAAAGTGTGGGACAGTGCAGGAAATCTGGTGGCTGAAGGCGAGCGTACCGGGCGGCTCTACAAGATGAAGTTGGAGATTAAGCGCGGTGCTAGCAACACGAAGAACGATGTTATCTCGCTTCCCGCTGTTTCAACCGATCAAGTCAACAACAAAGGGAGTATCTCCCAAGCTGAGGTATGGCATGCACGCTTGGGGCACGTGGGAGTGCAAGCATTGAAAGAGTTGGTAAATCACAAGAGCGTGGAAGGATTGAGTTTGAATGAAAGTGCAGTCAAGTCCCTTTCTTCCGTTCCATGTCCATCTTGTGTGGAAGGTAAACTAGCTAGAAAGCCATTCTTCCCTTCTAAGTCTCAGTCAAGGGACCTCCTAGAGTTGGTCCACACTGATGTCTTCGGCCCCATGCGAGACCCTACTCGAAACGGTAAGAGATATTTGGTGTCTTTCATTGATGACAAGAGTCGTTTCTCGTGGTCCTTTTTCATCAACACCAAGGATGAAGTTCACAAGTGTTTCAAGCAATGGCTAGCACTTGTTGAGAGAGAGTCAGGGAAGAAGTTACTCACCTTGAGGTCGGATCGAGGAGGTGAGTACATGGGGAAAGCGTTTCAGGGGGAGTTGTTGGCATTGGGCATCAAACAACAGTTCACTTGTCCCTATAGTCCTCAGCAAAATGGAGTGGCAGAGAGGTTTCATCGCACTATCCAGGCTATAGCTACCACTTTCCTTCAGTTCAAAGGCCTTGACAAGCTCTGGTGGGGTGAGGCAATCACTATGGCAATTTATGTTCGCAACAGGAGACCCACAAGGCCCTTACCGGAAGGTGTAACGCCATATGAGGCTTGGTTTGGAGTTAAACCAGATCTGTCTATGCTTCGTGTTTTTGGTTCCATGGCCCAATACCGTGTTCCAGATGCAAAGAGACTCAAGCTGGACAGCAAAGCTCATTGGGGCCTCTTCATCGGCATGAGCAATGAGAGCAAGGGATGGGTCCTTTGGGATCCTGTCACCAAGCGAGAAGTGGTTTCAAGGGATGTTGTCTTCTATGAAGACATGTCCCTTGCAGGTTGGCATAAGTTTTCCTCTTCCTCCTCTCTACCCTCTATCCAACAGGAACCAGCAAGCGCACCTGAGGAAACAACACAAGAGGAGGAAGAAGATGACACCGATTCTGACCATAGCGGACCGATCATCGATCTCCCTCAAGCCGTCGTCAACGAGTCCAACCGTGCCACGCCAGTGCCACCAGCAGCTACTCAACCAAGTGGAGATGAAGTTCAGCCATCAAATGAAGACAATCCACCGCAGCAAGTCACCGTTCCATCACCACCAAAGGAGCAGCAGCCAACAGTCACAAACCAGCCAGCTATATCAACACCATCCTCACAATTTCAACGCCAACCGGATCAGCCCACCACTACGCCATCAAACCCATCACCAGCCATCACTCCAGAGGCAACTACAAAAGCTCATCATCATCCCATGCAGCAGCAATCAACAGCTACAAGACCCCAAGTACCTACATCAACACCATCTACGACTCTTCCTAGCAACAAGTCAACCGTCACCGCAACACCTCGTTCTCATACCACACGTTCATCACTTGTTCCAACGTCAAGCCAGCTCATAGCACGAGGATCACTTCAGCGAGTCACCACCAACACCAGCTCCAACAGTCCACTTCTTCACCCAAGACCTTTCTCAACTTCACCCCCACGTCCCGGATTCGGTCGTCATCAGTTACCACCATCTTCAACACCGAGCAACAACACCAACTAGCCCCAACCATCACCACCTCTCGACAAGGCAGCGTCATCATCAATTCCCAAGCTTCTAGTCTCAAGATCCCCACCAAGAGCATCTTCACAACCAACTATGCCGACAAACGTTTCAGCTTCACCGCCACGAGTCACCATACCTAATCCTCAAGTCAACACCGATAATCAAGATATTTCCACGCCAGGAGAAGAACAAGCAGCCGTGCCGCCGTCGCAGCCGATGTCGCAGCCGTTGTCTCAGCCGCAAATGACCGCATCAACGCAATCAAACACTGTGAGACCGAACCCTACCACTAATGTGTCTCAGCCAACTGAGGAGTTTGGTAAAGGTAAACGAGTCCGCAAGGTAAAAAAGCCCTTCAATTTCATGGTTGACATGTCATCAAGGTGCACATGTGAGGAGAGTGAGAATTGCATTCACAAGAAGGTAGAGGCAATATGCATGGCAGCATCACACCTTCCGCGAGAGCCCTTGAGTCGTCGTGAGGCAATGGCAAGTCCCGAAAGAGAGCATTGGTTGAAAGCCGAGGAAGAGGAGATTGAGAGTCTCATGAAGCGAGGTACATGGCGTCTTGTTGAGCCACCTCCAGGGAAGAAGGTAATTGGTGTCAAATGGGTGTACAAGATCAAGGTAAAAGGTGATGGTAGCCTCGATAGGTACAAGGCAAGGTTAGTGGCAAAAGGTTATTCCCAAATTCCAGGTCTTGACTTCACCGAAACCTTTGCCGTGGTAGCAAAGTACACCACGGTACGAGTCCTCCTCGCCATAGCCGCATATCTTGGTCTCCATATCCATCAAATGGATGTCAAGAACGCATTTCTCTACGGTGTCTTGGAAGAAGAGGTATACATGGCACAACCCGAAGGTTATGATGACGGTACGGGTCGAGTGTGTCGCTTGGTAAAGTCCCTTTATGGTCTCAAACAGTCCCCACGGGTTTGGTATCATGCTCTTGAGCAGGTACTTTTCAAGCATGGTTTCACAAGGTCCATGAAAGACAACGCTCTGTACTTCATGCACACGAGTGAGGGGGAGTACATTTGGCTCTTGGTATATGTCGATGACCTCCTCCTAGTCTCAGGTTCTCTTGATCTTCTCAACAAGGTGAAAGGTATTCTCACGAGTGCATTCACGATGACCGATCTTGGTGAGCCGAGTCATTATCTTGGTATGAACATTGTGAGAGATCGTAAGTCACGGTCCATCTTCCTATTCCAGCAAAGGTACATCCAAAAGGTTCTTGAGAGGTTTGGTCTTGATGATAGCAAGCCATCACCTACCCCACTTCCTTCCAAATTTGTCCTTTTGTCTTCACATCAGCCCTATGAAGAGAGAGAGTCAAGCCTTGATATCATAGGTATTAAAGAGTTGTGTCTTGAGGAGAGTGAGCATCATGGTGAGAATTCACTTAAGGTATCCCCACAAGACCTAGCTATGTACCAAAGTCAGGTTGGGTGTCTCCTGTATGCAGCCCTATGCACAAGGCCCGACTTAGCATTCACGGTATCTAAGCTAGCTCAACACATGAGTGCCCCTTCACCTATTCATATGCATGCAGCCAAGCGAGCTCTTCGGTATCTCAAAGGTACTTCTAATCATGGTCTTCTCTTCCAAGCCAGCCCATATGCAAGCTCCCTCCAAGGCTTTACCGATGCAGATTGGGCGGGAGAATTGAGCACACGCAAGTCTACCGGCGGCTACATCTTCCTCATGTGTGGTGCCGCTGTTTCTTGGCAATCGCGCAAGCAAAGTTGTGTGGCACTTTCAACAACCGAAGCTGAGTACATGGCAATGACCGAAGGAGCAAGGGAGGCAATCTGGTTACGTGGACTCTTGGAGGAATTGAGGCAGCCGCAAACTCAACCAACTCCGCTCTACGTGGACAACACTTCAGCCGTAGCTCTTTCCAAGAACCCGGTTCATCATGGGCGTACAAAACACATCGAGGTGCAGTACCACTTCATTCGTGAGCAACTAGAGAAGGGAGTTCTCGCCGTCAACTTTTGCCGTTCATTCGATCAAGCAGCAGATTTCATGACCAAGGTTCTTCCACATGATGCATCCAATATGTGCAAGGCAAGAGCAGGCCTCATGACACTTCATGAAGCAGTGGAGCAGTTTGAGGAGAATGAGGAGTGTGAGGGGAAGAGACGTGGGCAGCAGCATGAAGTGTATGCTAAGGAGATGTGAAAGGAGCATCAGCATGGGTGTATGTGTGCTTCGGGTCTGGTGCGAGGGGGAGTGTTGGAGAATCGAGTTTCTGCCGCCCCAGCCCTTTGCACACAAGCAGCAGCAAGGGGGAATGTCGGCGATGAATCAGAGCTTCGGGAAGTACTTCGAAAGTTCCACCACCAATCAGATTTCAGCCGAAGACTCGATATAGTTCAAAGCTGCCTTCAAACCGAAGTGTTGGCAGTTTCTACAGGTTTCTACACATCAGAATCAGCTATAACAGAAATATCCAGAGTTTTCTTATTCATGCACCTCATGTGGCACTCAAAGTCACTCAAGGTCCATCCAATCTAGATTGTGCCCAAGTTACCAGGGAAGTTACATTGTCTATCAGCCTAGTTTGAGCTTTCAATCTGTCTTGTTTGTGATGCCTAGAGTTGTGCTTTAGTGGGCTTGTTAATCTTGAACATAGTGAAGTTTTACCTCATCCAGTCAATTCCAGCAGCCCTGCTAAGACTTTCCAGCCAAGTTTCCAGCCCTCCAGTAGTCACAGCTACTCTGTTTTACAAGTGTTTCGCATCACCGAACGACGGCAGTGCTCGCTAGCGATGTGTTCACAATTGAAATACCGAGGCAGGATCGGGAGTGTTCACCGATCCTGCCAAATCGATCGCCGCGTCGGTGTACCACGACTGCATTTTTGCAATCGCGGGCCCACCGCAATTCTCAAGGGACACGTTTGAAAAATCTTGGGCCAAAATCGCCCGATCTAGACGAAATTGCACGATCGATGTGTGGCAAGGGCACATCGATCGCGTGACTCCGAGGGGACAACTGTACATTGGCGAAAAGGAACGAATCAAAGTAACCACAATTTCGCAACTTAACGAAGTGCTGTACCCGCGAAACACCGAACCTGCGCAGGTTCGATGTTTCATTTGTGACGCGTCCTCAGACCTGTGCAAAACGAAGGGCGATTCGCGGCTTTCGCCATGACCTCTGCAATACGAGGTTTGGGTCGTGCTGAGAAGTGATTCGAGCAAATAGACCATAGAACTGTATATATATTTATTATAAAGACAATTAAGCAATTACAACCCAAACAGACACATCTTCAACAGATGCATCAAAATAAGGCCTAGCACACCCAAACCAGCAATATCAAGTACTTTACTTCCCAAACTAACTTACCCTCCCATCCACACTAAACATCACCATCATCAGTATTGCACAGAGCAAGCTTCCTCTCTCCAAAGAAACCATCCCAAGGCAGAACATGCTCCGCCATCCGTCGGCACGTCACCACCAGTCCTGGCAGTAGCATTCCCACCTCCCTTGCTGCAACCCTCAGGTCCACACCAGCAACACCACTTCCACTTCCCTCTCCTTCCTTTCCACCTTCCTTGCCAGCAATAACTCCATGCGAAACCAGCAGCCTCTGCAGCTTGAAATCCTGCAGTCCGGGGCGGCTTCCCTCTCTCCCAGCCCTCACCTCCTCCCCGTCTCCACCGTTGCCAGCAAGCTCCCTTGCCGCTGCCAAGAGGGAGAGCAGCAGGCCGGAGGAAACACCCGGGCAGTCAAAAAGATCCAGCAGAACGAGCTGGGGCAACTGCAGCTGGAGAGAAGCAGTGGAAGCAGCGCCAGCTGTGGCGTCAGCATGCCAGGTGTCGCCGAACAGCGCCACCACGACAGCAGCGTCGTCCACAGCTGTGCGCGCCAGCCTCAGCACCTCCAACCGCCCGCATCGCCTCGCCAGCTGGCGCAGCCCCACTGGCCCCACGTTCACACAGCCGCCCAGACTCAGCTGCACCAATCGCGTGCATCCATTCGCAATGGCCACTACCCCGGCATCGGTAACATGAGATTGCACAGGAGGGGGGGCGACACGCAGGCAGGTCCTGGAGTAGGAAGAGGAGGTGGTGAGGAGGAAATCATTAGCAGCGCTGGCAGCAGCAGAGGCGACAGCAATGAATCGAGCTAGTGGCTGGGCGTGCAAGGCGGTGAGGTTCGGGCAGGACTCGGAAACAGCTGTGAGAACGGCGTCTGACGCCAGCGGGAGAGCGAGGCGCTCGAGGAGAGGGAGGTCCCTGATGGCCTGGCACAGCACCTCCTCACTCCTCTTCCACTCGGGTGAGCCGCTGTTCAGGTGGGATGATGGGCGATGTGGCTCGGTTTGGGAGAGATCCAGAGTGGTGAGCTGGCGGAACAGGTGGCCCACGAGCTGCCACGTGGAGCTGGGGGAGTTCTGCGCGTGGAAGGCCCGTAGAGGCGTTGAGGAGGAACGAGCAGCGAGGGCGAGAAGAAGGGAGGATGCGGGGGGAGAGCCCCAGGCAACGGAGCGGTGAGGCGAGACGTAGAGGCGGATGGAGGAGAGGCAGGGCGCCAGAGACGAGTCCGGAGGACAGTAGAAAAGGTCGCCAGACTTTGGAGCGGCGATGGAGAGCGTCGAGAGAAGAGCAGCCGTTTCAGAGTCTAAAGTGTCGGAAGAAGCGGATGGGTCACCCGCTACGCCGCTCTCCGTCAGCACCGGATCAGCTGCCGCGGCAGCCAAAGCAGGAGCCTCGGTAAGTGGCGCCGCAGCCGCATGCTTGGCGGGGTGGTTGCGGGGTTGATCCAAGGCGTGGGAAACGAGGGAGAGGTGCTGCAGGGAGGGGAGGAGCGCGAGCAGCAGCGACCCCACCTCCCACGTGACGGCGTCGGAGCTGAGCGAGAGCGCTTTGAGGTGCGGCAGCGACGTCGCCAGGTGGCATATGGTCTCCGCGCTGGCGGTCGCGCGCGTGTCGAGGTTGAGGGAGGTGAGGTGCGGGAGGGAGGCGGCGATGGTGTGCAGATGCACGTCTGTGAGGCAGACACGCGGCGGGTGGATGGAGATGGGCTCGCGGGAAGGGGCGGGCGGAAGGGGAGGGGGAGCGGGCGGAGAAGAGGTTGGGGAAGGAGGAGAAGGGTCGGACGGAGGGGGGGAAGGTGCGGCAGGAGCTTCAGCAGCAGCAGCGGAAGCAGCGGCATCAGGGGAAGCAGCGGCAGCAGCGGAAGCAGGGGCGGGAGTGGCTGAGAGGACGCGCGGCGCGGGCGCCTGCGATGGGGGGATGGGAACGTTAGTCGAGCCGGCGACTTGAAGGCCGTCGTCTTTGGCCCACACGCGACCCGCGCCTCCCGCCGCGGCCTCGCCCCCCTCCGCCCACGTCACGCACGCCGAGGGGGTCAGAAAATGATCCGAGCTCAGATTCAGGGATTTGAGCTGACGTGGCAGCGCCGGGAGCACCACTGTGGCGAGCTCTACCTTGGTCATAGGAAGGAAGCCGGGCGGCGCGGTGCAACGATCGGGCACCGCTTCGACGCAGCTCACCAGCGAGAGCGATTCGATTCCCGACGCGCGTTGAAGGATCTGCACAATGCTGTAGGCCGATAGCTTATCGTCGTCAGGTCGAGTCGCGTTACCACCCGCGCCTGGACGGATCTCCAGAGCGCGGAGAGTAGCGGCGAAGCGCGTCGCCAGCTCCAGCATACGCGACTTGGAATCCGAACTAGCAATAGAAGTGAGGTCGTTAGTAGGGTCGTTCGCGGCATCCTCGAGAACGAACGGCGACGGTCGGAGTCGCACGCAGACCGAGTCGGAGGTCGGAGGACGGAGGTCGTCGCCTGCCGCGGTCGCGAGTGTCATATCCGGCGTCGCCATATTCGAAAGTGCTCCAAGAAAGAACGAAAGGAAGAGCTGAATAAGATGAACCTAATTGAGATTGACAAAAGTGGATGTAAGATGCGCGTACAGAGATTGACAGTACCGATCGGTTTAGTACCTCCAAGAAAAGGTCCACCTACAGGCGTTTGCTAAAACACCGACCAACAGGCCGGACAACACGGAGCAACGCACCCACAGGTGGCGGAAGGATCCAAGCGAGTTCCAAACGTATGTACTGGGAGCAATGGAGTGTATGCTCAGTTCAATTCGGCGCGCACCAAGCTCAAGGTGCGAGCGCGAGTAATGATGTACAAATGGCGAGAGACTAGTTGGGCTGGTGCAGGATGGATTCAAGAAAGAATCGGCTCGGTTATGTATGGTGTGCTGCGGTAGATTCGAAAGGGGAAGCTGATTTGGCGTAGTGGCGAGGCGTGAAGGGAAGGGAATGTAACCAGGAGCTAGCTCAGACGATAGAGCTGAAACAAGTGGAACAAGTGAAGCTGATGGGTGGGGCGGAATGACGAGGAATGACGTATCAGAAGGTGCGAGGAAAGTATTTCTCAATTACGACGTGTTGCAACTCACGTTGCTCTGCATCGGCTCGGATCGGGACGTGTCTTTAGAATTTTAACAAATTTTATAGCAGGCATGCAATAACGTCATGTGTTTCTATAAAAGCTTGGCAAAGAACTCTTTAGAACCATATATTGACATCTTCTTTGCCAGATCAGTGTCCAAGTTTCGGGTTTCGGATTCCTCCCGATTGCCTGGAGCTTTCCAAACACCCCTTGTCGTCCCGAGCCGATGCAGTACACCGTGAACTGCAACACGTCGTTATAAATTTGCAGACGCGTTCACTTCACACGCGAGTTCAATCTCTGGGAAAGTCCTGAGAATGAGAAAGAGTCCCAGCGTCCTCAAATTCCAGTTCGTAACATCATTTCTTGGGTAATCGATGTTAGATAAGAGTCGTCATGAGATTTCGCTGGGTCTTGAAGATTCTTGAAGTTCGCTAATCCACTAAGTCTGGCCCTTAGCAGACTGACGCTGTCTTACCTTTATTATTGAGTGAAACCCCATCGCTGCACCCCACGTGCCTGTATGTCTCAACCAAACGGGGTCCGACGGTGGTCGACGGAGCGTCGACCACCGTCGACCTGACCGACGGGCAGAAAAAAACTAAAACCCCATCGGATGGCATGCCATCCGAGGGAGGCATCAACCCTAAATCCATGCCTCCCTGTGTTTAGGGTTGATGCCTCCCTGACCGGATGCATGCCCGACTGGGGTTTATTTTTTTTGCCCGCGGGCAGCGAGCTCATCCGGGCGGGGTCGCTTGTCGGCTGAGCTATACTGAGCCGTGACTCTCTCCAAGCTTCCCGTTCAGGAGTGCTTTTGCTGACTTGCCCATACCGGAAACTGGATCACTGTTGGTTCGGTCACTGAGCGAAAACACTGCCTATGCCAGAAGTCAGATTGCTGTATAACAACGGCAACATTTGTACACTCGCAAGGATCCACTAAGATTATATGCGAATCACATAAGGGGCTGGAGGATGGGAAGTTGAATCAGTGTTATTACTTTTACAATGCTCAACCACTTTGCGCTTGCGCATTCCAGCTTTCATCATCGTCACCATCCAACTCAAGATCCCGCTCTCCAAAAAAACCATCCCATGGCAAAACATGTTCCGCCGTCCTCCTAGCAGTAACCACCAACTGTGGCAACAACTTCCTTACCTCCCTTGCAGCAAGTCTTAAATCCACGTCAGAACCCATCCCTCCACTATCTCCACCACCCCCCACCATTCCCTCTCTTCCACCTTCCTTGCCCCCCTTCCATTGGTCCCCAGCAATCACTTTGGGAGACACCAGCAGCCGCCGCAGCCTGAAATCCTGCAATCCATAGAACCCTTTCTCCTTTTTCCCTTTCTTCTCATGCCCCACATGCTCGTCAGCAGATGGCTTCTCCTCCTCACATTCCCCATCCACTTCCACCATTGCAGCTGCCCCATCATCTCTGCGCCTCTCACTCTTACCAGCAAGCTCCCTGGCTGCGTCTAAGAGAGCGAGCAGGAGAGTGGAAGTCACACCTGGGCATCCACTCAGGTCCAGCAGAACCAGCCGTGGCAGCTGCAGCTGCAGTGGCGCATCAAAAGCACTGCTAGGACCAGCAATGGCAGCAGCAGCAGCACTGTCAACAATAACTCTGACAGCGGCAGCACTGTCAGCAGCAGCGGTGGCAGCTGCAGCACTGGCAGCGGCAGCACTGGCGCCGACAGCACGGGCAGCGGCAGCACGGGCAGCAGCAGCACTGGCAGCGGAAGCAGTAGCAGCAGCAGCAGTGGCAGTGGCAGCAGTGGCAGCGGCAGCAGTGGCAGTGGCAGCAGTGGCAGGGGCAGCACAGGCAGCAGCAGCATTCACTACCCTGTTGCCACGCCAGCTGTCGCCGAATAGCGCCGCCACGACAGCAGCGTCGTCCACCGCTGTGCGCGCCAGCCTCAGCACCTCCAGCCGCTCGCATTTACTCGCCAGCTGGCGCAGCCCCACTCGCCCCACGTTCACACAGCCGCCCAGACTCAGCTGCACCAATCGCGTGCATCCGTTCGCAATAGCCAACACCCCGGCATCGGTATCATGAGGCTGGACAGGAGGAAGGGCAACACGCAGCCAGGTCCTGGTGTGTGAGGAGGAGTTGCAGAGGTAGAAGTTCCCAAGACCACAGTCAACAGCAGAGTCGACAGCGACGGACCGAGCCAGCGGCTGGGCGTGCAAGGCGGTGAGTTTCGGGCAGGACTGAGAAATCTCCAGCAGAACGGCATCTGACACCAAGGGGAGGGCGAGGCGCTCCAGGAGAGGGAGGCCCCGGATGGCCTGACACAGCACCTCCTCGCTCCTCTTCCACTCGGCTAAACCGTCGTAGGAAGAAAGCCGGCACGGGGACAACTCGTTTCGGGAGATGTCCAGAGTGGTGAGGTGGCGGAACAGGTGGCTCACAGCCTGCCACGTGGACATGGAGGAATTGTGGGCGTGGAAGGAGCGCAAAGAGGAGGAGAACGGGCGTGGGACAGACAGGCTGGCCGCATTGCCACCACTGCCACTGCTGCTGCCACTGCTGCTGCCGCCACTGCCGTTGTTGCTGCCGCTGAGGGCGAGCAGGAGGGAGGACGCGGGATAGAGATGCCAGGCTACGGAGCGATGGGGGAAGTTGAAAAGGCGGATGGAGGAGAGGCAGGGCGCCAGGGTCGACCCAGATGGGTACCAAAAGAGGTCGCCGTGACGGGGTTTTGCAATAGAGAGCGAGGAGAAGAGGGATGCAGCGTCCAACCCAGCTGCTTCTGGACCAGCGGATGAATCCGCTGAAATATCTCGGATGTGCAGAGCACGCACGTGGATATCATGCTCTTGGTTGCCCGGCTGGGGCACGGCGCGCGGACCCAAGGCGCGGGATATGAGGGAGAGGCGCTGCAGCGACGGGAGGAGCGCGAGGAGGAGAGACACCGTCTCCCACGTGATGGCGTCGGACCAGAGCGAGAGCGCCGTGAGGTGCGGGAGTGTGCTGGCCACGTGCTCGACGCACGCGGCCGTGAAGTCCGCTGGCGTGTCGAGGTTTAGGACGCGGAGATTAGGGAGCGAGGCAGCGATGGAGTTTAAGTGCAGGTCGGAGAGGAAGAAGGAGATAACGGATGTGGAGTTTAAGTGCATCGGGTCGTAACGGATGTGGTGAGGCGGTGAGGGGGGCGGGGGGGGGAGGCGGGCGGGGAGGCGGGGGACCAGGCGGGAGGAGAGGCGGAGAGGGAGGAGGGACAGAAGCAGGAGGAGGAGGAGGAAGGGGCGCAGGGAGGGGTGGGGGTGGCGGAGGGGGGATGTTGGACGATCTGGGAAGCTGAAGGCCATCCGCGTACCCCCACACGCGATCATGACTCGGCAAAGTTATCTCGTCATCATCACACGCGCTTGTCCCGAATTGCGGAAGCACGCACGCGGCAGGGCAGAGAAAGTGATCCGACCAGAGATTTAGGGACTTGAGCTGACGTGGCAGGACTGGTAACACCACCGTGGCAAACTCTGATTCGCTCATGGGTAGCGAGTCGACTATCGGGTAGATCCGCTCCACGCAACTGACCAGAGAGAGGGATTCGATGCTCGAGGCGGCTCGAAGGATTCGCACAATACCATGAGACGTCAGCTTTTCGTTGTCAGCGGCGGTTAAGTTTCTCGCGCCGGGACGGATCTCCAGAGATCGAAGCGTAGCGGCGAAGCGCGTCGTCAACTTGAGTAGCTCTGTTTCTGAGTCCAAACTACCTAGTGTGCTCTCCGATCCCTCCGGAGTTAAGTCCTCGAGCATAAAAGGCGACGCTCGGAGCGATCGCACACACACACCGCGCAGCGCGACGCGGCACCAACGGCGGCAGACGAAGGCGGCTGAGGAGATCGCGAAGCACGAGGGGAGGAAGGAGAAGACGAGGGAGAGAGTGCCGTCATCGAGGAGGGCCGTGACGGATGCGCATTCCCCGGTGCCTTCGTCCACTAGAGCTAGCTCTCCGCAATCACGGTCGCCATCGCGAGCTGCGGAGACGTGCGACGCTCGTTCCATGGTACTCCTTGTTGCCCGCAATACGCCAGAGAAATGGATGTAAATAGATGGGAGCAGAGAAATGATAGCGGAGTTTGTCCAGTCACATGGATGCGAGGACTAATTTTGAGCCTAGGAAATACCGTAATGGGGGAGCAGGATGAGAATGCGAGTGACCTGGAGGGTGACGGACGGACGGGGGAGGAGGCGAGTGGAGTGGCGACCTTTTTCGTCCGAACCGAACCGAACCTAATCAAGCCAAATTCGATAAAAGTTTGCAGCCCGCATTCCCCGTGACTGGAATGGAGTAAGTTTGAGTAGTTAGAAGCACGGCGAGGTAAGGTGACGTCACGCCCCAGTAATGCTTCATGCTTATTGTCCCAGATCGAACCGCCAGTGGATTCGTTGAATGCCTTGAATTCTGTACCTTGCAGCGATTTCTGCGCTCGGGGTTGGTCAGGTCGGACGACTTGGTCAGACCGACCTTTGAGCTGAGCTGACTGAAAAGCCTTGCCGCCATAGCGTTTGCCGTTGGATTCAGGAACAAGGCAAGACATACAAGGGAAGGGTGGTTACCGTATTTCAATCACTGAACGAAACTGGTGACATGGTGACAAGTTGGTGCTTAGGTAATGCTCAGTTTCCATTCAAAGGTGCAAAGAAACCATCCACATCATCCTCGAAAAAGGCTCCAAAAGCATCAGCATCCCACCCAAGTTTCTTCATAACATCTGCCGCCTCTTCAGAACCCCTCTTGGTGAACATTTCTTCTCAAACAATCCCCACCACTTTCCATACCTCGCGTTTCCACATCTGCTGCACCTTCGCCTTGTGCATCAGGCCCGCAGTGCATTCTGACAGAGTCAGAGGGTCTATGGATGCCGACGTTCATGCCAGGCGAGAGACCTCGCTGGCTTTCTGTGGTTGGAGATTCACGAGATCTCACATCACGTGGCTGAAGCCCCTCCTCACTTGCTTCCCGTATGGCCGAGACACGACTCCCAGGCACTCCTCTGTGGCTGTCCAAGGCCGCATCAGGCACCATGGGCGTGAGGCAGATGTCAGCATCCTCAGCGTCAATTGACGTGAAATCCCACGCCTTCTCCCTTCGTTCGATTGTGGCTGCTGGAAGTCGGTAGGCTGGTGTAGTTTTCGGCATCATCTCAGTATTGCAGTGGGGGTTTGGCACATTAGGAGTGAAAGGTGTAGGAAACCCCGCCGTTCCACCAGCGGCAGCGTTGGAGTTTCTTTGGGCTGAAGAACCAGAAGCAGGGCGTGGTGGAACAGTGGACGATGGGATCTGTGTCACAGGTTGAGGCGATGCTGGCACTCGGTTGGTTCCAAGAGTGCTTGGGGACTGTGGTATCTGCGTGTGCAGGTGGGGATTCTTTGATGAGAAGGGTGACTCTTCAGAGAGGCTGTGACTGTGATGTGGCATTGCAAAGGCAGATTGTTGGTTCGCTAATGGAGATTGATCTGTGTGTGCAGGCGGGGAAGCTGTTGAGCCGAATGGAGGAGAACGGGCAGAGGCAAAGCGTGGACCTGCAGTGTGGAGCAGGAAGGCGATTATTTAAATTGGGCAGTCATAGGAGTTGCTGAGACAGCATATTGTAAAGGGAATATCTCAAAAAAGCGGAGGAGCCTGTTTAGAAGAAGACATGCACACACCTGGTAGACCCGATGATGACGGGCGAAATGCAGAAACAGGAGGAATTGGGGTGTCTGGAGGAAACACCTTGAATGGGACGGGATGGGAAAGCAGAAAAACGCACAATGAAATAGTGGAGTGACGAGAGGGACAATAGTGCTGGAACGACTGGCGGTACGCGCCGACACACTCACCTGGACAACGTTGGCAAGAGTGATGTTGATATATTGCAGTCCCTTCCGAGGGCTGAACACCACCACCTGACAGCCACACGTGTCCACATCAATAACTCCAAGTAAAAAACACTTTTCCTCCTGTAGAAAACAGAATGCAACATGACATCATTTGAAGAAGATGTGCTGTGCACCTTTCGGAGTAGAAGAGCAGATCCTCGCTTAAGCCGCGACTTGTTGTCGGCATCAGCCATGACCTTCCAGTGCAGCGAGCCCTCCAGACGACCCGTGGGGTCCTGGTTTAGATGGCCACGCCAGCAGAACAGAAAGTGGGTCGCGAAACGTCCTTTAATCATGTCATACTTTCCATGCGCACACCATCGCCAAACTTCACTTGTGCAAGCACAGCCATGTACTTGCATGAGGAAAACGCATGTGGTGCTCCAGTCTACAGCTATAAACCAGGTGCACAGCGAACAGCTGACCTACCTTGATTTCGATGTTTGCATCACCCCGTGGTTGCAGTTGAAGGCGCTCCACCACAGCTGCGAGCTAGTGAGTGTGGGACATGAGAAGGTTTCAACAAACAAGCAAAAAATGACAAGTATCTACTATGACAAGCAAAAGGTATTAACATACTCAATCACGGCACAGCTGTTTACAATCAGCCTCTACCATTAACAGAGAGGGTGAAATATGAAATTAGCCGTCACCTCACCTGCATCACCACCATCGAAATGCCTGCTTGCCGAATGCTCCTTACTGTTTCACACCCAGTGCCTGGTTTCCCTGAACTAGGAAAAACAGCACTGGTGAATACAATGATTACACACACACACAGGACCACAAGATGGAAATTGGAACAAACATTTCCGGACCATACCAAAGGCAGAAGGATATATGTCTAGGACGTCAAGGCATGAGAGCCATGGCCCTCTACTGAAGTCTTCATCTCCTGTAAATTCTGGCCGACCACGCGAGAAGCCATTATCTAGAAAGGGGCCGCCATTACCACCATCATCATGACCAGGACCACACGATAGACCCGCTAGTCTTCGCTGAAGGATACCGATAGGGCCCGGAAGAATCCTTAGACTCTCCCCCCCAGCTTTTCCGTCCAAGGGAGGCGAGTCATTATTGAGAAACGCGTTCTCTTCAGGGCTCAATTCCACATCTTCAGTTTTCACAGCAGTCTTGATGTTCTCTCCCTTTTTTCTCCTCTTTTTCTCCCTAGCTGCTCCTGCATCGTCCAATCCAGAGCTCATTCCGTGACCTTCTTCAAACGCATTGACAAACTCGCTGCCATTCCCCAATCCGCGGGCCTGATCCGCACGCTGGGAGGATCTCAATCCGCGCGTCTGATTTGCACGCTGGGAGGGTGGAAATTCAACAGGTTCCCCGTCTGGTTCTCCTCGCATTCGATCCGCGTCTCCTCCCAAGCCATCAATGCCCAGGTCGAAATCTCCGAGGCTAAAATTCGCCCATCCACTAACCCCGTCGTCAACGCTGTTGTCCGTAGGGCCATTCTGCTGAGACTGGCTGACAGTCGGTTCTCGTCCTGGGAGCCGTCCTTGGCCTTCGGAGTGTTTGGCAGCATTAGTATCAGCTGGCGATCGGCGCTCAGGCCTCATCCAGTCCACGCCATGGTTTTTCCTGGCTGGTGCGAAGTTCAAATCCTCGGAACTTGGCTCAGGTGGGACTGGGAATCTTGAGCGGTCGTTGCTATCCCTGCATAGGATATCATCTTTCTGCTGCGCAGGGGTCACGCCTAGACCAAACTGCCTTCCACCGATGTCTGCAGCTGCTTTCGTGCTCACAAGCCGAACACCGCTATTTCCTGGTAGATTGCTCCTTTCGTCCTTATTCTGTTCTGACTGTCGCTTACTTGCATCCGGAACCTTTCTCAGGGCGGACAAAATGTCTGAATCGTCAACATCGAGCTCTTCGTCGAAGCCAGCCGCGAAATCAGAAAACAATTCCATTCTGTCAATGAAGTAATGGCGAGGCCCGCTCACAGCTAGTCGTCACGGAAACCAACCAGCAAGAAGCACAGTGATGGTCAGGCAACAGAAAAATATGGCAATGATACCTACGATTACCGCAGCCTAGTGAGATGCTTTCCGCACTCGTCGCTTATGCTAGGAATAATACCTAGATTTCTTGGTTTTCCAAAACTCAGCACAGCAGCATCCAGCATTTCATGGCGCACCTCAATGTTGTCGTACTGGTGACGCCAGTTTGATGATCTACAATCTACACTTCGAAAAAACACAGTCCATATGTTTCCTCGTTCAGAATGACCATTGTACGGCAGATTAGGTGTAATTTGACAATGCCCAGAAGTCTCTCGCCACAGTTTAAGCCTTTGTCCAGCTGTGCGGAATCAACCCCAACCGAAGCCACCCCGCTAGTGTCTCAACTCAACCGGACCCAACCCAACCCCTCCCGCCCACTGCCTGCCACCAATCCCCACTTCCCGCAGCTCTTCGCGTGCCACGCCTCTGCCACCCTTTCCGCAATAGCGTCCCCGTATTCCGCACCCGTTCTGCAAGAGCCTCCGCGTTCCTCCACATGCTCCCCCAAATGCATCCTCGCCCACAAGAGCAGCTCCTTTTCCTTTTCCCTCTCCCCTCCCACGCCCCTCTAGAATTTCCTATACCTCGTTCCTTTCAGCCATGGCGGAGGCAGCGGCTCCCAAGTCATACAGCCTAGATGCTGTCAAGAAGCCCTTGAAGAGGGCGCGTGTGAATCGTCCCTCGAAGCTGCGGTAAGGGTCTGGTAAGCGCTGCGTCTGTGGTTTGCCAGTCTAGGGTTTCACTCTCCAGACACCCTTCTAGCACCGTTAACAATCACTACAGCTTCACTCTGTTCTTCCGCGATATCCATTGTTCGCGAGTCCTCAGGCACGAGTGGTGAATTAGGGTTGGGAGTTTGACTGCTCTGACTTGCTCGATCTGCTGTGTTTGTTTCGCCAATGGATTTACTCTCCGTCTCCCGTGTCGCAGTGCGAGCATCACCCCAGGCACAGTGCTGATCATCCTCGCTGGCCGCGACAAGGGCAGGCGCGTCGTCTTCCTCAAGCAGCTCGAGTCCGGCCTCCTCCTCGTCACCGGTAAGGCTCTGAATTAATTCAGAATTCATTTTGCCACTGCTAAGTTCACGCCATTGCAAAAGGCGTCGATCTCGTTTCTGTTCCTCGTGACTTCATGTAAACGTTCATCTCTCTAAACCTTCCTCAGCTGCTTCCCACCAGCGTGTCACAGCGCTGCCTTCTCACCGGAGTGTGAGACGAAGCAGTCGCTTATATCAGAGCGATCATTTCGATAGCTTCGGCGCTCTCCGATGTAGCGGTCGTCTTGTCGTAGTTGATAATTTAGGGGGTATCAGCAGCGTTGCGTAGGTCGACAATGTATCTGCGCCACGACGCAGCATTTTCATCAGGAGTACCAGCTTAAATTCAAGACTCGTCTGACAGCGTGTCGTTTCGTTGAACGGCGTTCCGTGATCTGCCTCAAACGTTTCTAGGCACCCGGCAACGGTGATAGACGATTCTAGTTACTACCGTGGCTTGGCGATTGCGGAGGGGTAGGAATTTCGAAACTGAATTCCGAAGCGTTGATATGAAAAGGTTCGAGTGCACTTCGATCACGTCCGGATACCGCAGACGACAAAGAGCTATTTGGAATGAGTGGTGGCATGGGGCTGAGGTCGATCAGTTCGGGGGACGGTGGTGGTGCAGCCGGTGATTATACGAAGTATTTGCTACTCTTGATGGCATGGCCACATGACGATTTACTATCCACCAAGATCTATGAGGCTGCCACCACAGGTTTCGAGCGGTTCTTACAAAACTATCTTTTATCTTGTCGCTTAAGCCGTACAGTACTTTTTTTCTGGTGACTCTGTAGCCGGCCGGTGATTAAATCCTTGATTTGCTACTCGTGATGGCTTCAGTCCATTTGACGATTATCCTACCACCAAGATATGAGGCCAGTACTGCGGATGCCTTTCCATGTGACCCTGTCGCGGGTTGACTTCTTATTTCGTTGTTTAGAAATCAATGTCCGGAACAGAAGTCAGTAGCCGGGCTGATTCCGCATAGTGTTGCTGGCCTAGCTCCAGCAACAGTGGTCATTTTGGTGCCATTCCTGCTTTCCATGCTTCGCGCGTGAATTCACGTGCAGTCCTCGTTTCAGCGCCTTTCTATGGCTGTTAAAAAAATCTGGACTCTCCATTTACGCTCATTGGTTGATCTCTACTGAGTCTGAACAACATTGCTTGAACTTGGCGTACATGCTTTGCCTCCGAAGTAATTATGTCAGTTTCCGTCTCCGTTTCCGTTGATGGAAGGTTGACCATGTGGCCGGTGATTATTCATCAGTATTTGCTACTCTTGACGGCCACGGCCGCATGACGATTTACTTACCACCAAGATCTATGAGGCCACTACACTCTCTTTCACATGTTCTGATGTGCCGGACTGAGTGGTTATGCGTCCTTCTCCTTTGGTTCTCCTCTTGCTTGTTGAATAGCGTTTCTCCCTGAACCATTAACATCATCCACCCGCCTTCTTCCGCCTTCTCGCCGCCTTTCTCTAAGCTAACCCCTCCACCCTCTGCCATCTCTCTTCTGGCCTCTATCCCCCCTCCAGGTCCCTTCAAGGTGAACAGGATTCCCCTGAGGAGAGTCAACCAGCGCTACGTCATCGCCACGTCGACCAAGGTGGACGTGAGCGGCGTTGACGTGGCCAAGTTCGACGACGGCTACTTTGCGGGCGAGCAGAAGAAGAAGGAGAAGAAGAGCGAGGGCGAGTTCTTCGAGACCGAGAAGAAGGTCAGCTGCATCCCAGTGCATTGCACGGATTGTTCTTCTCTTGTTGCCCCTCTCCCTTCACCCTCCTTCCCTCCCCTCTCTCCCCGCACCTCTTCCTCCTAACCCCCCCTGCCCCCCCCCCCCCCCTCTCCCAGCACCTCTTCCTCCTACCCCTCCCCTCCCCCCTCCGTCCCCGCACCCACTCCTCCTACCACCCTGCTTCCCGGCCTTCTCAATTCACGCGCCGTTTCTTCAGGAGAAGGAAGGTTTTAGCTGCCAAAGATTGTTGGCTGGGCAGCAGTGATTTCATGCAGCCGTAAGCAAGAAGCTCTTCCTTGTGCAGGCAGCAGTGGGCCCTGGCAGTCATAGAAGAGTTTGTGCTCTCTTCTGCTCACTTCCCACTCAACGCTTCCCGTCCCCTTCCCCCTCCCCCCCCCCCTCCTCCCCCTTTTCACTCAACTCCTGCCCTTTGCGACCACCATTGGCGTGCACAGGAGAAGGTGGTATCGCAGGTTCGGAAGGATGACCAGGCAGTGGTGGATGCTGACAGGCATGAGTCAAGAAGAGCCTCTCAACATGTACCTTGCTCTTCTCTTCTCATCTGTGTGCCGTGCAGGAGAAGAAGGTGGTGTCGCAGGCGAGGAAGGATGACCAGGCGGCGGTGGACGAGAAGATCCTGGCGGCCGTAGGCAGCGAGCCGCTGCTCAAGGAGTACCTCGCTGCTCGCTTCTCACTCACGTCGGGAGACAAGCCCCACCGCATGCAGTTCTAGATGCTGCTGCTGCTGTGGCCACGCTCTTTGTAGACCAATGCTGTAATGAGCATGCTTGTAACGTTTACTGAGAAAGGCGGTTTACCTGAGGCTGCTCATGCAAGTCTTCATTCAGGAAGCACCGAATATACATGAATAATTCCTAAGGGCGCGTGTCTTTTGAATTTTAGGCCAAAGTTCATGTTTTTTGGTCGAATTTTTGCAAATAATCACAGGTCGACCTGTAGTTGACTATCTCGTCATTTCATTGTCGAGTCGCATGTTCACCTTGACGTGGAGCACATAGCACAAGAAATGCTCGACTTTCAAAGGTCGAATTTGTACAGTAAAATCCGAGTCGCGCCAAGTTTTGTAGGTTACCCTGTCTACACAGTGAAGTTCGTTAGCACTTTCAACTCTGGTAACCTGGCGCGACGTGGTTCGTGACTATCGCGAATCTCGCAGCTTCTTCGTGCGTGGGCAGAAGAACACACGATTGGAGAAACATGCTCGGGGATAGTCGAATGCGAGGTCCACCCTAGTTCAGTGTCCTTCTGTTTCAGCAACTTTGAGCTTGGACACACGTTCGTCGTCAGTAGCTTTGAGCGAAATTGGCGAAGCTGGTTACCAGCAAAAGTTCGACCTTTTTTTTGAACTTCTACACCAAATGACACGCGCCCTAACAATCTACTCTGCAACAACAGACTTGCAAAGTACAGTTCTCAGCACCATCTTTTGTCAGCTTGTAACCATCAGGCTCTCAAACAAGGTCCGGAGGAAAAGAATTACCAGTACCTACCAATATCCGTATTCGCGGAATAGGGTTATGGTTAGGGGTACGGTTGTAGCATGGTGCAGCATGCTGCGACATGGTTGCAACATTTGCATATCATGGTTATCAGGCAGCATTGTCAAGTAGAATGGCCAGTTGGCATGAGGGAAACATTCTCAGCTACCACAGCAGCTTACGAGCTACACAACCCTAGCCTTCTCAAGACTTTGATCCTACCCTGAAATCAATGCTGTTTGGAACGGCAATGTAGGAGGTTTCCATTCACGCATTAGCTGCTGCTTATGACGAGCGCATGGCTGAAGCTGGTGGCCCCTTCTTCGTGCTCATGGCTGCCACTATGTGCTCCTGGTGATACACATGGAGGTCGACAGGAGATGGACAGGGGGAGATGGACGATGGGGTATGGGCAGTGGGAGATGGATGGGCAGTGGGAGATGGATGGGCAGTGGGAGATGGATGGTAGTGGTTGGCAGCGGAAAACGGCGAACAGTGGGGAGTGAAGGGAAGTGGATTGAACGACATAGGCAATGATGACTTATGAACAACTTATTGAAACACAGAGGTGGAAAGATGTGCTGTGGGTTGCGGTGTGGTGCATGCAGGGAGGAACGATCCGAGGCACAGAGCAAGGTCTAGAGAACGCTCTGAGGCACAAAGAAGTTCGATTCAACTCACCGACACAAAGTCAAACGCGTGCGAGTCTTCCTTTGTGGAAGCAGTAGGAGGAGCCGGGCGCAGCGTGGGATCACCCGAGAAATCGAAGTCACCTCCCACCCTCCCTCCCCCATTCACCGCACCCACCATCCCCCCCGGCCCTCCCATCATGCCTGGGCCCCCAACTCCCCCCATACCCATCCCCACGCCCATCCCTCCACCCATTCCCAAGTTGACACCCATGCCCATGGTCATGCCCATGCCCCCCATACCCATGGCCATGGGCATGGGCATCATGCCAGGATGACCAGCCATCATGGCTCCCCCAGGAGCCATCATAGGCATGGGAACCATCATTGGATGCATGCCCCCCGCTGCACCCATCCCCATGCCCATCCCCATCCCCATGCCCATACCCATACCCATGGTCATCCCCCCTCCTCCCCCTGCTGCTGCTGCTGATGCAGGCATCATGGAGACAGGCATGGTCATGGGGGTACCTAGCATACCCGCTCCCCCCATTGCCCACGCCTGCGCCGACTGTTTGGGCTTCGCCGCGCCAGCAGAGAGTGGCTGTGGCTGTGGATGTGGCTGTGGCTGCTGCTGCTGGTTCACACTCATTCCCGCAAACAGATCTCCCTCTTCCCCACCACCACCAGCGCCACCAGCAGCACCAGCAGCACTAGCAGCACCAGAACCAGCAGCAGAAACAGCAGCATCACCGGTTTCACTGTTGACGCTCAGACCTTGAAAGAGGTCGGCCGTTTGTGCTGTGAGGTCACTAGACAGACCTGCAAACGGATCCTGTGCTACAGCTGTAGCAGCTGTAGTGGCTGTAGCAGGGGCAGACGGAGGTACAGCGGCAGGAGCAGTAGGAGGAGGAGAAGCGGCATTCAAAGAGGCAAACGGGTCCATACTCCCCCCTCCTAGCAAGTCATCTACTCCAGTCACACCAGCCGCTTGCGAACCGGACGAATCACCACTCGCTATTGCCCCTACCTCCGCTGCTCTGCCCTCGCCTCCCTCTCCTCCCTCTCCTCCCTCCACCTCGCCCCCCTCCCCCACGTCGATTAAGTCAGGCACAACAACTGCTGCTGCTGCTGGCAGTGTGTGCGGGGATGGCTGCCCCCCTTGCTGGTGCCGCAGGCCCAAGAGGTCAAGCACCTGGAATCGGGGGCGGTGGGGCGGGATAATGAAGGAGTCTGGTAGTGTGCAGTGCGGTGACCTGATGGCTGGGGGGTGGCTGCCCGCCCTGCTGGTGCCGCAAGCACAGCAAATTTGTTGTTGTACGTGCATGCATTGCCTAGTTCCTAAGAGTTTTTGTTTATCCTCAAGTTTTTGTTGTTGTTGAAACAAGGTGGGGTTAAGGTGGGGTAAGTTTGGTAAAAGGTTGGAATAAGGTGGGTTTAAGGTGGGACACACAGATTGACATCATACCCGTCTGGCCTTGTCTCTCTGAGTGACGTCTGTGGCGAGTCCACGCTCTCCTGCAGTGCGTGGGGGTTGTCCCACCCAAGCACACACACACACGTGAGGTCAGAAACATACCCGTCTGGCCTTGTCTCTGAGGGAAGTCTGAGGCGAGTCCACATTCTCGTGCAGCGCATGGGGGTTGTCAGCGAAGAAGTCATAAATGGCGTCGCACTGTGGGTCGCCCTCCTGCCTCACCACTGCCTCCACCACGCACATGGCCTTCAGCCGCGTCTGATGGGGGAGAAGTCGGCGGAGGGGAAGGGGAGGGGAGGAGGACAAGGGTGAGCAGGGTCGCCCTCCTGCCTCACCACTGCCTCCACCACGCACATGGCCTTCAGCCGCGTCTGTGGGACGAAGTTGAGGAAAGAAAAGGGAAGGGAAGGGCAGGAGGACAGTAGTGAGTGGGGTCGTCCTCTTGCCCCACCACGGCCTCCACCACGCGTATGGCCTTCACACGCGTCTGTGGGGGGGAGCGGGGAGGTCAGGGGAGCATCGAGTGGGGGGGGGAGAGGACAATTGTAACAGTTGTTGCCCACTGAGTCCGCCACTAGCAGCTCACCTGCCACAATTAAAAGTAGTGTTTTGAGTCCGTCTCAAAACGCTACTTCTATCACGTGCCCACTGAGTCCGCCACTAGCAGCTCACCTGCCACAATTAAAAGTAGTGTTTTGAGTCCATCTCAAAACGCTACTTCTATCACGTGCCCACTGAGTCCGCCACTAGCAGCTCACCTGCCACAATTAAAAGTAGTGTTTTGAGTCCGTCTCAAAACGCTACTTCTATCACGTGCCCACTGAGTCCGCCACTAGCAGCTCACCTGCCACAATTAAAAGTAGTGTTTTGAGTCCGTCTCAAAACGCTACTTCTATCACGTGCCCACTGAGTCCGCCACTAGCAGCTCACCTGCCACAATTAAAAGTAGTGTTTTGAGTCCGTCTCAAAACGCTACTTCTATCACGTGCCCACTGAGTCCGCCACTAGCAGCTCACCTGCCACAATTAAAAGTAGTGTTTTGAGTCCGTCTCAAAACACTACTTCTATCACGTGCCCACTGAGTCCGCCACTAGCAGCTCACCTGCCACAATTTCCCACTCACCGTATCCACGACCACCAGCAGCTCACCTGCCACAGGTTGCTGAGAAGACGAGCCTCCAGCGCCTGAGCCACGGCGCCCGCGTTCAGCTTAGGCAGGCTGGCAATGAAGCCCCTCAGCGCCTCGCGTGTCGGCTGCAGTCGCACCCCGCCCGCCCCAGTCATGCCCTCCACCAGTCTCTCCTCCTCACTGCTCGCCCCGCCCCCCCCCGCCCCTCCGCCTGCTCCTCCGCTCATCCCGTCCCCAGACCCAGACGCCCCTCCCCAAGCACTCGCCTCAGTGCGTCCCTCCCCTTGCTGCCCCCCGTCGCCCCACCCTCCCCCCGCTCTGTCCTCTTCCGCACCCCCCCCTCCATATCCCCCCCCGCCCCCACCGCCATATGCACCCCCTCCACTACCATACGGCCCTCCTCCTCCCCCTCCCCCTCCCCCACCACCATAGGCCCCCCCTGCTCTGTACCCTCGATCGGACCCATACTCTCTGTCCCTCCCCGCGCCAGAGTAAGCCGCAGGCGCCGCAGCAGGCGTGTATGAGTTGGTAGACGCGTCGAACGTGCGTCCCTGCCGGTCAAACCCCACGTACTTGGACGCACCAGACGACCCGCCTCCTTGTCCGTACCCGCTTCCTTGTCGGTACCCGCTGCCCCCATACCCGCTGCTGCCTCCATACCCGTACGCATCCCCACCGCCCCCAACCGAGTCCAACCGCGGCCCAACGTAGCTCCCCCCGCCTGCTGCTTCTTCAAACTCCCCCCCGCCCGCCTTCCCCCGCGCGCCTCCTGCTCCCTGCCCCACCGCGCCCGCCAGCTTGCTAATCCCCTGCCGAATCGACTCGCTACTCACACCCAACACTGCGCCGATCCCCCCTGCTCCCCCTCCTCCTCCGCCGCCCCTCCCCCCTCCGCCGCCCCCAGCACCCCCGTCTCCCCTCGCCGGGGTGCTTCCGAATCCCTCCATGCGACGCCGCCCGCCTTCCATCCCGCCACTGGGCCCATACCCGTTATAGCCGCCTCCGGTAGAGGCACTGCCGCCGCCGCCACTGACGCCCGTGGCGCCTGCGCCTGGTTTGATATCGTTCTGCGGGTTGAAGATCGCCTGCACCGCCTCCTGCGCCGCCTCCCGGACCGCCTTGTTGGGCGCGTCGCCTCTTAACGGATCGGGCTGTCCGCGATAGTGGACCATGCCCTTGATGGTGGCGGAGTGGCGCTGTATGCTGCGCCGAAACTCCGTGCCTGCCCGCGAGACCGTGTACTTAATCAGCCGCAGCGCCTGGGGAGGTGAGGTTATGGTAAGAGGGAGAGAAGGAGGAAGTGGGAGGGGAAGAGAAGAGCTGGACGTCGGGTGGCGGCTAACACGAGGCAACAGGGGAAATACTAACGTACAGCAGTCACCACGAATAGCGGCAAAAGGAGGAGGAAACCCAGTCACAAACGACAGAGAAGAGAAACAGTCGGGCCGGTTGACTGCCGCCCCGAAAATCTATCTAGATGCCTGAAACGCAAGCAACCATGTCTGAAACACAAACAGGCAAAGCTCGCCAGAGTAGAAGTGATCGAAACTGGAACGTCGAAACTGGAACGCGCACGCTGAGTACGCAGAACGGCATCGTGAATCTCTGGTCACGGCGTTACCGCAATCGAGGCCAAGACTAGGTCGAAATTAGTCGGCAGTAATGAGTCAATCCCTCAACTTTCCCGTGACAAGAATGACTCAATTCCTCACCTTTCTCCCACCTTTTGCTCGATGAAGGGCTAAGAGTGGTTGAGCCGCTGCATGTCGTGGTCATTCACTTCGTTCACCACCTGCGATAAATTGCAAAGTTACTCTATGGTCGGCTGTAGGCTTACTCTATGGTTACCTGCCTTCGATTCTTAGCGCACCTTTTGCTTGACGAAGGGCAAGGAGTGATTGAGGCGCTGCGTGAAGTAATCAACCACCTCCTTCACCACCTCCGATGCCCTACCGGATTACAGTCGGCTGGATGGTTACTCTATGGCTACCGTACGGTTGAGCCTTCGCGCACCTTTTGTTTGACGAAGGGCGAGGAGTGGTTGAGGCGCTGCGTGATGTAATCAACCACCTCCTTCACCACCTCCGATGGCCCGCATGATTACCCTATCATCGGCTGGAAGTCTACTCTACGGTTACCACCGTTGATCCTTCCCGCACCTTTTGCTTGACGAAGGGCGAAGAGTGGTTGAGGCGCTGCATGATGTAGTCAACCACCTCCTTCACCACCTCCGATGGGCTCGACTGCACGTCCGAGCATATCTCGTCCAGCCGATACACGGGAGCGATCTTATCGTCATCTGACGTCACCTCGTCGATCTTACGAGCTCTCCAAAACGACTGCATGATTTGAAGATAGGATATCGGAAAATGACGAAGCTTCCTTCTTGGCAAAAAGAGCAGGTTCGAATTGACCTGGCAGGATGCTAGCAGAGGCAAGCGCAAGTGCTCAAACAAGTACCGAGATTGGAAATAATTTTAGGTCTGCTAGCGTCACGCCAGTTCGACATAAGTGACATCACAACTCCAGGCCGGCGCCATGGCTGGATGGAGGAATCTCGAGAAACATGTCCATTTATGTGCAGTGTGGGCAGGAAGTATGGAATGGAAATGGAACAGCCGCTGGTGGAGACTGAGAAAGGGAGGAATGGCATCCGTTAGGAGAACTCTCAGTATAGCCACGGTATTCTCACGCCCGGTGTAAGAACTCCTACCTCCAATTCTAGCCGCTGTTGGCGCCTTCTGAAAATGGATGACCTGCGCACTGAGCTACTGATGCTCGAATAAATTGACTCGGCACTGTGTTAAACTTTAGGGATCTGTGTTAAACTTTAGGGATCTAATTGGCACCTATGTGCTGCGATTTTACAAACACAGTATATAATGTCTGGGACAACACCCTGTTTGATTCTAAATGTAAATGTATGATCAGAAGCTATACTGAAAGTTTTAAATTATATATGAAAATACAACTCCATAATTATCACCGAGATGTCTGGATGACGTTCATATCGTAATTCTATAAGGGCTGTTCCGAAACCCGTTATTGAACAAGCACGGATGGTAAAATGAGAACGTGCTGAGCCAGCTCCCCCTCCCACCAGTCGTCGTCAACACCAGCCACGCAATTCCCAAGTTGACGGCCTGCTGGTTGTTGGAGACAGGCATGTGATTACTGGAACCTTCGCACGGCTGAACACGTCGGTTCTAGGTTAGGAGACAAAAAAGAGTAGAGTCTATCTACCGTAGCACAGTGGTTCAGCACGGCAACCCTGCTTGTCCGACGGCTTTTGCGGCGTTCCTTTCTAGGAAGCTGCGGACGTGACACGAGCCGAACGTATCTCTTCGTCTTTAGGTTTCACTGTAACTAGTAAATTAGTCTCGCGGACCGATCGTGCTACTCAGGTGCTGGGAGGCCATAATTCTCAGGTTACGCAATGGGACAAAGAGTGGCTTTTTACTCGAAAATGCTGCACCTTTTCGTCTTTTAGTGTCATTCTGTTCCTGGTACTGAGTAGCTTTAGGTGCCAATCAAAGGCGAACCGAACCACCGTTCCTGGCCGTGTGCATTGCAATGCTGGGCGTTGCGCGACTTACGTGTTGATAAGATAGTAGTTATTTTGGATATTGCTATCCAGTTCGCCCTTTTTTTTGGAATGGGTTGTTTCAACTCAAAAACAAGCGGGAATAGCATCCCAATATCACGAAGTGAGTCATTCGGATTAACCTTGAACTTGCGTGCTAGTTTCTTTCATCGTATCCCTTGTTGTTCCAAACTCCATGACGTCACTTTCAAAGTGAAAATGCTTCAGTTAAGAAACTCATTGTATAATTCACAAGCGCCATCCCCCCGTTTTGTGTCCACTCGCGCTGCGGTTTTGTTGCAGACTCCAAGCAACTACCTTCTCTCTCAAATGCGAAATCAGGCGAAGACGGTAATGAGTCGTCTGTGAAATTCCTTACTTATGAAGACATCAAGCGAGCCACGGACAATTTCGCCAACGTCCTCGGTGAAGGAGGGTTCGGAAAGGTGTATAAGGGCCGGTTGCGCGGCGTTAACGGGGACGCTGATGAGGAAACGACTTTCGTTGCGGTCAAGGTTTTGGCTCCGCACAGTTTCCAAGGGATGGACGAATTTCTGGTGAGTGGCTCTTAAGCTTTAAATGGTAGAAGGATTAGCGCCTGGAAGGTTGAGCGCTGGAAAGCAGGGGAAGGGGAGGTAGCCTGGGGCTTGCAGGCTTCATGGGTGATGTGTTTAGTTATGAAATGGGGTTTTGCCGGCGACAAGAATAATGTGTTCAGTTAGTGGTGTGGGGCTTAGAGGCTACATGGATTATGTCTTCAGTTTCTGAGTCAGGGCTTGCACGTTACATGGATAATGTGTTCAGCTTAAAATGTGAGGCTTGCACACTGCATAAATATTGTGTCCGAAAGCTACATGGAGTGTGTGTTCATCTGGTTCGTCTCTCAATACTGTGTGTCTCCTTCCATACCCGACACAGAACGAGATCACTACAGTGGAGGGCGTGCAACACCACAACATTGTGAGATTGCTGGCGTGCTGCACGGAGAAGGTCAAGGCGCTGGTGTACGAGTTCATCCCCATGGGCGATGTAGATGCATGGCTTGCAAAATGTGCGTACGTTCTTGATAAAGGTGTTTTTGGGAAGAAAGGAAGTCAAATTGTGGAGCATGAGCTGCTTGCACGCAATGGGATTATGTGCCAGATGGAGTGTTAGATAGTTTCTATGAGCATCGTGGTATAAGCGTTTTTGGGTTGGAGGGAAGCCAAATTTTGGAGCATGAGCTGCTTGCACACAAGGCAGGTATGGGTTAGACAGAGTGTTGGATAGTTCTAATGTATCGTGGTCTACCACTGCAGAAGCTTCCAGAGTAGCATGCTGAAACACTGACATGCAACCGTCACATCTTTGCCTTGCTTCCACCCTTTCATGGTTCCCTCTCTCCGGCACAGGTTCTGAAGGCAAGGCAAAATTTCCCTGGGCTGACCGGATGAAAGTGATTATGGGAACAGCGGAGGCGTTGACGTTCATTCACAAGCAACGGTTCATTCACCGGGACTTCAAGTCCAGCAACGTGCTTTTAACGGAAGTAAGCATTCTTGCCCTCGTTTTTCCCCCCTTCATCACCCTCCCTCACTCAACACGACAGAGTATAATCAGTGATGTTGGCTACAATGGCATGTAGTTGTTGCTAGCTCATCAGCCACCGTTCGTGTGTTGTTGCTTCTGCAGTTTGCCCTCTCATCTATTTTTCCATGCCACTGCCTTATCAGTCCTTCCCCAGCCATGCTCCCTCCTCTCCGTTTTCCCTTGTTCCCCTCGTATCTTATCACAGGACTTCACACCGAAGGTGGCTGACTTTGGTCTGGCCAAGGGCATAGAGGACTGGAAAACGCATGTCACAACACGAGTCATGGGCTCCATGGGGTACATTGATCCCACTTACTTTGAGTCAGGTGAGTTGGAGTCGCTGACACACAGCTGAAATGGCCTCACAGGTTTTTTACTTTCCCTGTATTAATGCATGTGGCTCCACTCTATGCATCTTGGTTAAACTGCCCGCGTAAACGCACGTGGCTCCCCTTGTTTTTCATCTCATGCCCCTGTGCATTGATGTGCTTTATGCTTGTCTGTCCTTGTATCCATATCAGGTCACTTGTGTGACAAGAGTGACGTGTTCGCTTTCGGTCTGTTCATGGTTGAGATTCTCGCGGGCAAGTCGGTTCTTCGGGAAGGTTTTGCGGAAGACATTAAGGCGTGGTTATACGAGGCGGATGCTCCCACCGCTGCGGATATGATGGACCTTGCAATCATCAATGAAGCAAACAAGACAGAAGCGAGCGCCATCGCGATAATTGCCAAGCAGTCGACAGCCAGGGACTGGGCTGATCGTCCAACCATGGAGGAGGTTTTGGAAGTACTGAAAGTGGCAATCAAACTACCAGCACCGGTACCTAATGATGAGCCTAAAAATGACCACGAATCTCAAGAAAATGGATCATCTTGATTGCCAATGCTGATCACATATTGAGTTGTGGTTTCGTTTATGAGGAATATAGTGTTTGCTTCTTTACTCATTTTTCCTAACAGTTATGCGATGTACGTACGCTGTGGTCAAGGAAGTGTTGTTCCAGTCAACCCCGAGATCATCCTTCAATCCAACCCCACTTTGCCTCGTCAACCACAGTGCGGTCTGTGCCAGACGAGCTCATTCTCATCAACGGTCGAAACCCTACCTAACCGCTCTATATACGGTTAGCTGCGTGTAGGCAAAACCTTGATAGTATCCGCCAAGTTACAAGCAGACCAGGTCACCACCAGCCCATCAATCATGGACCGTCTTTCCCACTTTTCGTCCTATTTATCCCTTTATTCGTGATTCTTACGGCGCGTTCGGCGCGGACAACGGCATCGCGTCCTTTGCCGTTGAGCACACCGCTTGGTTATCTCAAGGTTAACATGCTTCGCATGAGCAGGCACATTGCTTGCAGTTCTATGACAGTAGGTTTGTGGCGTTAGGGAAAATGCAGCAGTCTCACGTTCTATGAATGGTACACGTAGTCGACCTCCGTTTCGCAGCGAGTGGGAAGTTTCTCCGTGTTTTCTCCACGAGAGCCTGCCTATACTTTGTAGCTGACGTAGAAACCACCGCTCCATTTCGAAGCGCCGCAAACCGAGAAAACAGTACAGTTGCTGGCATCAGGGATAGCCGGCTTTGTCGTTTGTTCGACGCGGCGGCGTGCGTGCGTGCAGTCAGCACTCTTCGTAGTTAAAGGAGGCATCTTAAAGCGGAGGCCCTCCAGGTAGCATTCTTCGAAGTTTCGAGGAGGCGTCTCAAAGCGAAGGGCCTCCAAGCAGCAGTCCTCGAAGCTTCGAGGAGGCGAGTCAGCGCGAAGGGACTCCAGGCGGCTCTCCCCATGGGGGGTTGCTTGTCGCAACCCAGCAGCGATGCGAGTACGTACAGTGAGGAGCTCGGATCGCGTGTGTCCTGCTGAGTTGGTTCAAGTCAAAAAGTTTCTTTCTCATGAACCGACTTCTTCGCTCGCACATTCCGCGTCACGCATTGCGTTTGTGCTGCTTGTCGTCACCACCCCTTCCCTGTGCTCCTTCATCCCCTCGTTGCCTGTCCTCTTCTCCCTTTCGCTCCCCTTCGTTGCCTGCCTCCTTCATCCGGCCTGCCTTTTCCATTCGCCATTGTGTTTTGATGCTTCTCCCCCCACCCGCATGTCCCCCCCTCTCTCCTCCCCCGCTTTCCTTCTCGTCGCTCCCCCGCCTCCTCCGCTGCCCGCCTTCTTCCCATTTCTTCTCCACTCCCCGCTCCTCCACTTCTTCTGCACCCCCAGAGACGTCAAACTACCCGGAGAAGAAGGCAGTGGGGGCGGGATTCCCGGAGTACACATACGATGAGATGATGCTGATGTGATGACCGACAAGCTCAAGAAGCCCATCGGCCAAGGGGGGTTCGGCGTTATGTACAAGGGCTACCTGCAGGACCCCCAGTTCTACCCTCCCTTCACTCACCTTCCCCTCTACCCCCCTCGTCTTGCCCCTCTTAACCCCCATTTCTTTCCCACTCCCCGCTCCTCCAGAGACGTCAAACTACCCGGTGAAGAAGCCAGTGGGGGCGGGATTTCCAGAATACACATACGATGAGATGATGCTGATGACCGACAAGCTCAAGAAGCCCATCGGCCAGGGGGGCTTCGGGGTCGTGTACAAGGGCTACCTGCAGGACCCCGCAGCAGTTGCTGCAGCAGCAGCAGCTGGTGGTGATGGAGGGGGTGGTGGAGCGGATGGGGGAGGAGGAGGCGCGGCAGCGGTGGATCAGGTTCTGGTGGCAGTGGCGGTGAAAGTGCTGGATAACGAGGATGTGGAGCTTAAAGACGACGAGCAGTTCCACGTGAGTAGGGTTTGTATCTTTGAGGCGCCCCAAAAACAAATAGGCTCCTCACTCACAGGAGGTGAAGGTGTTGGATAACCAGGATGTGGAGCTCAAGGCCGACGAGCTGTTCCATGCGAGTGGGGTTTGTGTCTCGAGATCGATGAGTGCCTTGTAAGTGAGCAGGCTTGGTGGATGGAGATGTGTGTTGAGGCTTGTAGCACACAAAAGACGCCAGGCAATTTCATGTGTCCGTGTGGTTTGAGATCAGTCAGCTTCTTTTTTCCATGCAAGCACGCTTTCGTGGGTAGACTCCGCATTGGTGGTAAGTGGTTGGAGGGGAAAGGTGCGTGGGTAGAAAGAAGGTGGGAGCAGTGGGGACGTTGGGGTTGATGGGAGCGTTGGGATGAGAGGGAACAGGCGTAATTGACGCTTTGCGTGAAAAGAGCAAGGGTGGGCTCTGAAAGGGCAGGGGAGAGGGGAAGAGTAGGGGAAGGGGAGGAGAATAGGGAAAAGAGGGGGAGGATCACAGGCGGAGCAGCAGATGCTGATATTGCAGCTGCCGCACGGCAGCCTTGTGCCACAGTGCTACTCCAGGCCCCCCTTCGTTGCTCTCCCGTACTGACTTCTAACCGCCTCGCCTCACCTCCCCCACACTCCCTATGTCCGCTTGTCCACCCATTTTGTAAGGAAGCAGCTGTTTCACCCCAACATCCTGTTTCTGTACGGACAGCTATTGCCCTCCTTCATCCCCTTATCATACTCCCCTCCTCCCACCTTCTTCCCACACAAACACCCCCTGCCCCGCGTTCACATCACACTCCCGCAAACCCCTCTTATTCGCTCTCTCTGCCCGTCCATCAGGCGGAGTTGATGGCAATGGAGCAGCTGAAGCATCCCACCATCCCGTCGCTGTATGCCCATGGCCGTCTGCCTCGTTGCCCACCCCCCCTCGTTCCCCCCTCATTCCATCAGGCGGAGTTGATGGCAATGGAGCAGCTGAAGCACCCCACCATACTGTCGCTGTACGGATTTGTGGCCAAGCCCACGCCCGCCCTCATCTACGAGTTTATCACCAACGGCAATGCCGAGGCGTACCTCAGAAAAGGTATACCAGCTTCCCGACGCAACAGGGGTGTGTGTTTTTCCTGCCCTTGCGTAACAGCACTATATTTCGAGGAATTCCTTTGAGAGCGTTATTGTGTGGGGACGGGACGTGCATGTGCATGAACCTGGATGTAGTGACATGTGTGAAAGGCAATTTGAACTATAATCTTGTCACCTTTGTCTTCCCCTCCCTCCTCCCCCCCCCCTCCTCCCCCTCCCTCCCCCCCATCCCTCCTCCCCCACTCCCCCTCACCTTCCACTCCACTCCCTTTTTAATCCGTCCTATTGTCCAGTTATTTACAGTGCAATGCCAAGGGGCGTTCCGATGGATGTCCTCCCCCTCAACCAACCCTCCCCTTCCTCCCCGCGCACACCCCAACCCCCCTCCCTCCCCTCATGCAATGGCCGTCAGCGCCTTCCCCTCAACCCTGCCCTTCCTCCCCGCGCACACCCCAACCCCCCCCCTTCCCCCCATCCAATGGCCATCAGCGGTGCAAGGCAAGGTGGAGTTTTCCTGGAAGGCGCGGCTGCGGGTGGCTCTGATGTGTGCGGAGGCGCTGCAGGTGATGCACAGCCACAACTACGTGCACCGCGACTTCAAGGCCTCCAACGTGCTGCTCCGCGAGGTGTGCTGGTTTGAGAGGTGCTCTGTTCTGTGTATTGTTCTTGCACTGTGGGTGTGCTGCTGTGGGCCCCATTCTGTGTGAGTTGTGGGGGGGGGGGAGAGAGAGGTCTTTCAAAGAGCACAGAGCAGGCGCTGCAGGTGATGCACAGCCACAACTACGTGCGCCGCAACTTCAAGGCCTCCAACGTGCTGCTGCGTGAGGTGTGCTGCTCTGCGTGTGTGTTGCTGTGGGCCCTGTGCTTGGGGGAGTTGAAAAAAAAGGCTACTCAAAGAGCAAAGCGCAGGCTCTGCAGGTAATGCACAGCCACTTCTACGTGCACTGCGCCTTCAAGGCCTGGCGTGATTCTGATGCTGGTGGTGATAACACTGTGTGTCTCTGCTCTGCATGCATGTTCAAGTACACATGCATGCATTCATGCTTCTTCAGCATGCATGCGGGGATGCATCTGTATGCACACCAACCAGCCCCTGTCTCATGCAAGCTGCTCCAGTCCAAACCCATCTGCTCTTGATCTCTTGTCTCTCCCTGCATCTAAGTGTCCCGGCTCGTCCAGGACCTGATGCTAGTGCTGGCGGATTTTGGCTTGGGGCGCCGAGTCAACACAAAATTCGAGGTTGAATTCTAAATATGTTTGGGTAAACTCAAAGATGCCCTGCCTCTCCTCTGCATCCGCCTGGCGTGCCTCCTCCAGGACCTGACGCCAGTGCTGGCAAATTTTGGCTTGGGGGGCCCCTTTTTTAGGAAACTCAAACCACCCTAAACCCTAACTTAAGTTTTAAATCATTTTGGGTCAACTCAAAAATCCCCTGGCTCTCCTATGCATCCACCCGGCATGGCTCCTCCAGGACCTGACGCCAGTGCTGGCGGACTTTGGCTTGGCACGCACGGTGAACAACTGGCAGAGCCACGTCACCACGCGGGTCATGGGCTCCACGGGTTACATCGACCCCGTCTACTTTGAGTCTGGTACGCCCACAGCCCTCTTCACTTCCTTCTTTTGATGCGCCTTTTGAGTCCACTCAAGAGCCACGTCACCACGCAGGTTATGGGCTCCACGGCTTACATTGACCCTGTCTACTTGGAGTCTGGTGCGCCGACAACTCTTTCTCCCTGCTGTGCTGTGTCTCTCTTTTTGAATCGGCAATGCTGGTGTGACTGGTCCTAGTGGTTGTACCAGTGAAGCAAGATTGGCTGTCATTGTTCTTTCTGAGTTCTCTCGTTCCTTCTCTTTCTGTTACTTCCCGGTGGTTGTTTGTGGAATGCTTTCCCTTGTGCCCGGTGCAGGTCATCTGAACGCCAAGTGCGACACGTATGCGTTTGGGATATTTCTCCTCGAACTTGTAACGGGCATGCTGGTCACTGACAAAAACTTTGAGGCCTTGCGAATGACCCTTGCCACGGGGGCTGAGCTGCCCGAAGCAGACAAAGTGATGGACCAGACACTGGCCGGGCAGTGGACAAAAAAAGATGCACTTATGGCGTTAACCTTGGTGAAGTATGCAGTTGCAGGGAAGTGGGAGACACGACCTTCAATGGATACGCTGACATCAAAGCTGAAAGTTGTGTATGAGAGATGACAAGTCTAGGAAATTTTAGCAACCATAGATGGCTGTGGATGTGAATGTAGTGGTAGGCAAGTGTATCAATGTTCTTATTCATCCATATGTGGGCCACACTCAGTAATGTTAGGGCGTATTGTCAAATGTTATAGCCTTTAGTGGGTCATGCTATATGGGGTACAAACAGTTAGGGTTAGGTACTTGTACCCCAACACAATCAATGCAACTCATTCCGCTGTAGCCACTATCTGAGATGGTATCAGCTAGGTTCCTCGCTCCTAGGCCCTAGGTTAGTTCCCTAGCTCGCCAGACACGCCAGCACGCTGAGTCCTAAGCCGCCAGCCAGCCAGCCAGCCAGCTGCCCCCTAGCGCGCCACGCCGCCGGCGACCTGCAGCGCGACCCGTCCCCTAGCCACCGCGCCAACCTCCCGTAGGCCCGCACGTCGCGCTGCCCGTAGGCCTGCCCGTAGGCCCGCACGTCGTGCTGCCCGTAGGCCTGCCCGTAGGCCCGCGCGTCGCGCTGCCCATAGGCCCGCCCGTAGGCCCGCGCGTCGTGCTGCCCGTAGGCCCGCGCGTCGCGTCGCCTAGCCGCGCAGCCCGGCCGTAGGCCCGCCCGTCGCCTATAACGCCCGTAGGCCCGCCCGTCGCCTAGCCCGCCCGTCGGCCCGCCCGTCGCCTTGCCGCGCAGCCCGCCCGTCGACCTGCCACGCCGCCCGTAGGCCCGCGCGCCGCGTCGCCTGTCCGTCGACCAGCTACGCAGCCCGCCCGTCGACCCGCCGCGCCGCCCGCCACCCAGTACGCCGCGCCGCACGCCCCATAGCGCGCCGCGCCGCCCACCAGCCAGCGCACTGCGCCGCCCACCAGCCAGCGCACTGCGCCGCCCACCTACCCACCTGCATGCCTCCCCGCCTGCCCACACGTTACTGACTGTCTCCCCCCTCCCGCGGCTGGCAGCCGCGCTCTCTCAGTTTCGCCCCCTATGGCGACCTCCCGAGTACTTCGTTTTGACCCTGAGGGGAGACCTATTGACTTTAGTACATGGCTTACGCAGGCGCAGCGCCACCTTAAGAGCCAGCGGCAGGATGGCGTGCACCTGTTCGCACACGCGTCCGGCACCCTGACCGCCCCTCTGCAGCCTCGGCCGCTGCCCACTACCCCACCGCCTACTTCTGAGCAGGAGGCCGACTACCAGCGCCAGCTCCTGGCTCGTGACGTGTGGGAGTCTCGTGACGCCGCTGCCTGCCTCGCCCTGACCGACCTTCTCCCGCCGACAGAGGCAGTCCACTTCGCTCAGGTCGAGTCTGCTGCAGATCTGTATAAGGCTATTGTTGCTCGCTACTCCACTCCCTCCTCTGCTTCCCTCAGTCGCCTCCTCGTACCCTTTATCTACCCTGACCTCGCCTCCTTTGAGACTGTCTCTGACCTCGCTACCCACCTGCGCTCCCTTGATGCTCGCTTTCGCGCTGCTTGCACTGAGGACCAGCTTGCCCTTGCCCCACCCCCTATGTGGCTCACTATTCACTGGCTAGTCATTCGCCTCCCTGACCGCCTAGCCACAGCCCGCGACGCGCTTCTTCTGAAGCACCCCAGTGAGCTTACCATCGATCTTCTTGAGACTGCTCTCTCGAAGATCGAGAGCAACCTCCTCACTGTTGCCTCTGCCTCTTCCGCGCCTCCTCCTCGTCTTTTTGAGGGGTGTGCGGTACCACAGCTTCCCACCTTCTCTGCCTCACTTGCCACCCCCACGTCTTCTGCCTCTGAGGAGACGGCAGCTGTTTCTGTCTCTGGCGGGCAGAAACGTGGCAAGGCTGGTAAGAGGGGCGGGAAGGGCGGCGGGGGTACTAGAGGTGGTGCGGGTAGTGGCGGTGGCGGTGGAGCAGGAGGTGGGAGTGGTGGTGGGGGTGGCTCGGGACCTGACGGCCCTCCTTTCGACGGTGGAGTTTTCACTGGTGGTGAGGGGTCCCAGCAGCAGCAGCAGTCGACTCCTCAGCAGCTGCCACCGCCTGGACAGCAGCAGCGGCAGGGACAGCAGCAGCAGCGACAGGGCTAGCAGCAGCGCCCGCCACAGCAGCAGCTCCAGCAGTGGGGCCCTCCGCAGCAGTGGGGCCCTCAGCAGCAGTGGAGGTCTGCGGGTCCCCCGAGCACTGGGCGCAGTGGCGCCCCCTCCAGTCGGGGACCTCGCTCGGCCGGCCGCGACGTTGGTCCCTGTGAGTACTGGATCCTTACGGGTCCTCATCGGGACTCGTACTGTGGCCGCCCCGACCACTCTGCTGCACGCTGCTTCAGTCGTCTCGACGACCTCTACGTCTTGCACCACGGCCCCTCCGCTCCCCCGCCGCCACGCTGGGGGACGCTTCTTGCTCGTGGTATTGCTGTTTTTGATATGACGATGGATGATGCTAGGTCATATGCCATGTATGCTGATGTTGACTATAGTGCTCATGGATCTGTGTACTTGCCTGTACCTAGCTTAGGATCTTTGCCTGTTGCTAGAGTAGGTGCTAGTGTAGGATCTTGTTTAGCTACTAGTACAGGTTCTCCCTCGGCGGACGCCTCTCTCTCCTTCACACTGGACTCCGGAGCGTCACACTGCTTCTTCCGCGACTGCACGACTCTCTCTCCGCTACCGGCGCCTGTCCCTGTAGCACTGGCCGATCCCTCTTCGGGACCGGTCATTGCGACTCACGCCACTACACTCCCGTGCCCAGCTGCTCCTTCCGGTTCCCTGACTGGCCTCCACGTTCCTTCGTTCTCTAGGAACCTGGTTGGTGTGGGCACCCTGGCGAGACAGCACGTCGGGGTCTGGGTTGAGCCTTCTGGTGACACCGCGGTCTGTGTGGACGGTGACACGTACGCCCCCTTGGCCACTTTTTGCCAGGAGCCGGGCTCCGGTCTGTACACCCTCCGCACCGACCCCCGTCAGGTTCCCTCATCCCACCAGGTAGCCGGGTCCAGTCAGGTTGCTGTGTCAGGTGTAGTTGCTGCGTCGTGCTCGTGTCGGTCGCTTGCCCACCCCTCCCTCCTCTGGCACCACCGTCTTGGTCACCCTTCCCTCCCTCGTCTCCGCGCTATGTCCAGTCAGCGTCTTGTCTTAGGCCTCTCCCGAGTCCTCCCGCCACTCCCGCCGTCCCCAGCTCCTCCGTGCGGTCCTTGTGTCCAGGGTCGGCTGCGACCCCTCACTCCTCCTCCCTTCGTCCGGCCACCGAGCCCTTCGAGACTCTCTACTTAGACGTCTGGGGCCCCGCTCCCCGTCTTGGCCCTCAGCGGGAGAGTTTCTTTCTGGTGGTCGTTGACGACTACTCTCGGTACACGACCGTGTTCCCTTTGGCGAAGAAGTCCGACGTGACTTCTACGCTGATCCGGTGGCTCCTCGCCACCGAGGGCACTCGCGGTCGTCGTGTCAGTTGTCTTCACTCCGACCGTGGGGATGAGTTTCGCTCCGGCATTCTCGCCAGATTCTGTGCTGAGCAGGGCATCGCCCAGTCCTGGACTCTTCCAGACTCTCCACAGCAGAATGGGGTTGCTGAACGCCGCTTAGGCCTGGTCATGGAGATCGCCCGCACCTCCATGATCCACGCTCGCGCGCCCCATTTCCTGTAGCCCTACGCGGCTCGGTACGCCGCTCACCAGCTGAACCTCTGGCCTCGCGTCTCTCGGCCAGGGGCTTCACCGACCAGTCTTTGGACAGGGTCCCCTGGTGTTGCGTCGAGGTTTAGTGTCTGGGGCTGCTTGGCTCTTGTCCGCGACACCTCTGCGGACAAGATCTCGCCTCGCGCTGTCCCCTGTGTCTTCCTTGGTTTCCCAGAGGGCTCCTCTGACTTCACCTTTTACCACCCTCCCTCCCACCGGTTCTTTGACTCTCGTGACGTCCGTTTCGACGAGTCCGTCCCCTACTACGTCCGGTACCCCTGTCGAGGTCTCCCGGTTCCCCCCCCTCCCCTCTTCCTGGCTCCAACTCCTCCTCCTCCCGCCCCTGCTCCTCCGGTACCCCCCCCTGTCCCCGCTCTGTCTGGTGTGTCCCACGCTACTCCCCCCCCCTCGGTACCCCCCCAGGTCTCTCCTCCTTCCCCAAAGTCGTCCTCACAGCCTCCGCAGCAGCCGCCGGCGCTTCCTTTACCGGCCACTGCGGACTCTGAGGGTGTTGGTGCTCGAGGTGAGGGCTCTGGGGGTGCTCGCTCTGGGGGTGCTGGCGTTGGAGCTGTTCGTACACCTACAGGAGCGGCCCGTTCTGGGGGTGTTGGCGTTCGCGCTGAGCGTGCACCTGCCGCAGCTGCCCGTTCTGAGGGTGCTGGAGCTGGTGGTGTTTCTGGAGCTGGAGAGTCTGGGGCTGGTGCTGGTGCCACTGGGGGCACCACGACTGGGGGTGCGGGTGCGCCTCCTACTGGTGCTGGTCGTGCTGCCGGGGGAGGTACTCGCTCTGGGGGTGCTCAGCCGGGTACTGC